GCATGAATAAAATAAAAAGTAAAGAAACCAACTAACAAATAAAAATCTAGAGGAGTGCTTGAAACTAAAAACAACTTATGAGCCAGGTTTAAACAAACTTTTAAAAGGCATGCAAGGCCAAACTATTGTAAATATTTTATCATTCTTGCAGAGCTAGTTAAAATACCTTCATATTTTTTGTTAGAAACATGTGTATGTTTGTATTTGAATAAATATTATTTCATATTGAAAGCTATTTATTTTAAATTATATATATAGGGCCTATATATATATATATATATATATATATATATATATATATATATATATATATATATATATATATATATATATATACATATACATTTACATATATATATATATATATATATATATATATATATATATGTATGTATATATATATATATGTATATATATATATATATATATATATATATATATATCTAATATATAAAGCTCAGTTCTGTAACGTGTGGCAAAAAAAAAAAAGTTTGTCGTTGACAGTTCTACGGATTTAAGTGTTAGATTTTTTATCGTGCTCAAAGTCTAAATTTACGAGTCGAAAAATTACCATTGAAAGTCTTTAAAAACAATTTTCATTCTATTTACTTAGAAGAATAATTTTCAATTATGAACACGACATAAAATTTTTAAAAAGTGTATCGACGTTTATAAAATTTCTAAAATTGTGTCGGAAATGTATTGACTGCAAAGTTACTTCCCTTTAATGAAAAATAAATCCTTAAGAAGAGAGAATTAACATTTTATTACTTTGTTTTTGGTGTTAAGAAAAAAAAAATAATTACACAATTAGCGGGGATTGATTAAGTGCAATGTCGTTAGGTATTTTTAACACTGCCTTTTATTTATTCTATACACTGAACATACTGTTCAATAATTCTTTTTTTTTTTTTTAAATCAATAACATTTAATAAGCCAGGTCCTACAAATCATATACGTTTATTTCTTTCCATTTACGGATAAGCTTGGAGTATTATCATTTTTGTTCACTAAATTGAAACAGGCGCGTCCGCCGGGGCCCCTGCACGGTTTGATTTGGCACCCTGGGCTATCATGTGAGCGCTATGCTGCATAATTTTGTTTTAAACAGTGCGATAGACTATGGATAAGAAAGGTTACTATAGTCTTTAAGTGAATCAAATCCGGGCGTCCTCCGGCACCCCGACAGGGTGCTATTTGGCGCCCCGGGCCTTCCGGTGTACGCTATGGTATCTACGTTCGCGTGAGTTCAAAAGACTATAAATAAGTTATGCACTATAGGCGTTTACTAAGTTCAATCAGGCGGTGACGTCATGGTGCGTCCTCTGGCGCCCAGACAGGGTGCTTTTTGGGGTCCCGGGCCTCCCGTGTTCGGTTTCGCGCCTACGTTCATTAAAGTGAGTGCAAAAGACTATGAATAAGTTGGGGTACTATAGTCGTTTATTAAGTTGAAGTAGGCGATTCAGCCCCGTGAGCACTTTGCGTTTATATTCGCGTTAGTGTTTTCTTTGTGTTTAGGTTGGGTTTGCGTTAGTGGTTGCGTTTTGATTTGGTTCGTTTTTGTTCTTTCTTTTTTCGTTTTCGTTTGTGTTTTATTTTCATTGGGTTTGTGTTTGTATTTGTGTTTGAGGTTGGTTTTGCGTTTGGATTTGGTTTGTTTTCGTTTGTTTTTCTTTTGTGTTTTTTTTTTCTTTGGGTTTGTGGTTGGTTTTGCGTTTGTATTTGGTTTGTTTTCGTTTGCTTTTTCGTTTGTTTTTTTTCTTTGGGTTTGTGTTTGTGTTTGTGGTTGGTTTTGTGTTTGGATTTGGTTTGTTTTCGTTTGCTTTTTTCTTTGTGTTCGTATTAGTGTTTGTGGTTGTGGTTGGTTTGTTGTAAGTTTTTGTTTTCGTTTGTATTTGTAATTGTGTTAGCGTTATGTTTGCGTTTTGTTGTTTTGGTTTTGGTTGGTTGTGGTTTGGGTGGGCAATGCCGGGTTTATGATGATTACTAAACACACAGGTGATGGTCTTTAACAGAAGGGTTTTTCACAGAAGCCAGAGCAGGGCCTGGCCGGGACGGCTAGTATATATATATATATATATATATATATATATATATATATATGTATGTATAGAATCTACAGATGTAAAATCCTAATCAAATATCATAATATTGAAATAAAATGTTAGTGGCTCTTTAAAACTGGGAAATTTTGTAAATTACAACTTTTGGCTCTTCCGTCTCAAAAGGTTGCCGACCCCTGGTCTAGTGGAATCTGATTGGTAGTAGAGAAATGAGAATGTAGATGATGAGGTATCGTAGTTCTGGAGTTCGGGACTATCGAGTATTGTGGTATCAAGGTATCGAAGTGTGTTGACTGTTAACGTATAGTAGTTGGTCCAGTTAAATCGTTATTGATTGGGAGTATCGTTTGTAGAGCTTGGTCAAGTTAGGTGAGGTGGTGTCGTAGTTCTAGAAAATCTAGAGCATCGAGTCTAGTTATGTTTAGGTATCGAAGCTTGATATGTGTTGTGAATGTAGTAGAGTATATCGAGTATTCGAGTTTATCGTAAGTTAGATTATTTCAATTCAGTACTGAATACACTACAATGAAAAATAGGCGTTCTCTAGATGAAAAATCTTTAGTATTTTAGGAATCAATATTACCACTCTTAAAGTAATAATATAAATTATATAGGCTCGGATTTATAACTAACCGTAAACTTTGTTTTTTTCAAATTATATTTTTTTTTATAGTTAAGCAATAATTATAGCAATATCTTAAACAGTTACCCGTATTTGATTTTTTTAAGGCGTTCCTTTAGTTAAGGGATCCTAAATTTTCTAATTTTTATGATAAAATCGCGGTGTCCACAGATGACGTATGACATCAAAAGTGACTAGAAGTATGTTATAATAAAGCTGATATTTTGACTTTTAAAATAAAACTTACTGTTAAATAGTCAATGAGTAAAATATATTTTTTTGACAAGGTTAGATAAATAATATAAAATATGTGTTATATTTATTATGTAACGACTTTTAAAGCGTTTTATTGTGTTTTTCACACTTGGTTAATTTAGCTAATATTGTGCAAGTTTTTTCCCTTGAATAAAATTTTAGTATTTGGATTTCCAAATGGGAGATAATTCGTTGCTTAACGTTACATTGATTTCAAATTCCTGCACCGTAGGTTGACCGCTTACTTATAAATACAACTTTAACGATTTTCGTGGTCCCTAACAATCCAATACTCTCCTTAATGTAGTGTGTCCTCAAGAACAGAACGACAACAGTTCACTTGCAGGCCAGCGGATCTGGAGAATCTCTAGATCTATATAGATCTTGCAGTTGTTTCAGCCCTTGCCCATCTAAAGTTTGCTAAAACGGTGGCCGTCATTAGACATGGGGATGTTATGTTAAATATGTAAAGTAACGTAGCACTGTAGTTCAGTGGTTGTCAGTGGCGTAGGCAGAGGGGGGTTAGGGGGGGTCATAACCCCCCCCCCCCCCATAGACCCCTCGGTATATATAAAAAGTATGAGGGGGGGGTGCAAATCGAAAGTTTGAGGGGGGGTGCAAATCGAAAGTTTGAGGGGAAGGGGTGCAAATCGAAAGTTTGAGGGGGGGGTGCAAATCGAAAGTTTGAGGGGGGGGGGGTGCAAATCGAAAGTTTGTCCCCGGGTAAAAATTGGAACCCCCCCCCCCCCCCCCCCCTTGAGACGATCCTGGCTACGCCACTGGTGGTTGTACATGCTTTGTCTGCTTTTAATTGGTAGCTGCCTTTAGACTATAATTTACTGGAGGCGCAAGTAATTTAATTAATCCTAAAAAAAATTAATATTTGAGAAATTGAATTTTTTTAAAGTACGCATGCACTTCATTTGTGTAGATCTAGTATTATGATGTTTTCTTTCACGAGCAAACATTTTAGTTCGCCAAAACTATTTTTAAACTTGTATCACGTGAGAGTGATGAGTGTTGGTCATGTGACAATGAAGAGTAACCTGGTACGCTTTGTTGTTTTCTTACTGATACTTGACTGATACTAATACTGCACTTGATTTTCTGTTTTTTCTAATCAATTATTAATTTCGGGATTTTCAGAAATAAATTAATTTTGAAATAACCATTTCATGGTTGATTATCTCTTATATGGAAAAAACACAATATTACAGATATTACTTTAAACAAAAATAGTAAAATACATGATGATAGTCTACACTACACTAGACTACTCATCACTACTGTTACTGTCTACCTGTGAATGGTTGAAGAATGGAAAGTTCTTTTTTAAAAATCTTATTGATATTGAAAGATTAGTAATATTACTACTATTATTTTTATTAGGGAGGCCTATTTTAAAATTAGATCTATTTTAAACTATTTTTATTGATGGAAATGCAAATAACATGACTCGGTAATCTATCGTTTTGGGTACGTAAAATCGTCCGCGACTAGTAATGTGAAAAACAGGTGACTCCTTAAATTTTTATAATTATTTCACATTTTGAGGAGGATTTATGATTTTTAAAATACAAAAATGTTTCCTTGTTTCATTTATGTACCTGTTTTTAAACAATTGAATTAAAACTTTTCAGTAATAAATGAATACTAGCGATGTTTCCAACAGATGCAACCATGCTCGTTTACTATAGCAGCCATCTTGTTTACGTTTTATTTTTATAAGATTCAGGGGGAAGCCACTCTATTTTACAAATGGCTGCTGTTTATATAGCAAATCTTGCTCGCAGACACTGCTGTTTAAAGTTAATTTCTGGCCATTGATTATATTTAGCCATTGATTTAGGTTTAATATTCATTTATCTATAAAATTTGACACAAAAATATTACAATATACTTCTTTTAAAGCCTTGACGATGAGGTAACATTTTCGTACACTAATAGCCGCTGGCGATTTTACGTACCTAAAGCGATAGATTACCCATGACTCTATACTCTATTCTAGTTGTTACTAATGTTACACCACATAATTAATTAATCATTGTAGTTCTATTTAGGCCTATAATATTTTTATCACACATTAAAAGAGGCACATAGAAAAGCATTGAAATATTGTCTAATTAATTTATTGAAATTATTCAAGCTACCCTACCGACCTACGTTTACACGTCGTTATGAGTACGTACGACCCTACTTGACTTGATAGTATTTTATACTGTAACAGTTTCAACAGTACAGTACACTCAAACTACACTAGTAAAAAAAAGTTGGTATGCCTAAGTATTAAATTAAAATTAGTAATGTTATCATACTACTACAGACTACAGTACAATTACACTATTAGTACCACTATCTTTTATAATTATATTATTAATATTTATTATTATAACTTACAGTACTAGATCTAGTACTAAGTACTAGATATTATATTAAATTATAGGCTACATTGAAACTTAACTCTCACTGCTAGTATTAGTAGACTTGATATACTGCTAGGCCTACTCTACTCTACTGTAACTGTAGGTCTACTCTAATTTAGTACTAGATCCAGTAGAGTTATATCTAGATCTTGCACTACAATGAGTACACAACTCACTCTCAGTGCTACCTAGTAGACTTGATACTGCCAATGTGAAAAAAAGGCCTTTGTGCCTACAATTGTAACTGTTTTATGAATAAATTTGAATAAATTTAATCTAGTAGTAGATCCAGAGTTATCTTGCACTTCATTGACCACACAGCACACTACCACACTACTACATAAAGAAAAAAAGGTCAGTAGGTGTACCTTCCCTTTGGTAAGGATCATATTTAGGGTAGGTGTAGGCCTAGTTTTCACAAGCATTCAAATATCAAACTACTTTAGTGGTGTTCTAATTTACTAGTGTATGGCCTACTAAAATTCTGAAGCCTTACTTATCATTGCAAATATTTTCACCTTAAACTTCAAAAGCTTATTTTATTGGCTACTATTACTATTAACCTATTTAAATTTCTTTTATTATATTTTTTAACAGTTCTGACATAACAGCTCCAAACATGTTTGTGCCTCGAATATGTAGCTGCCTGCTCCTATGTTTACTGACTGCATCTCATCTTCATGCTGCTAAAGTAGTATCTACATTCAATATTGACTCTGATCCATTGCCTAGTGTATTGACAAAAGATGAAGTAACTAAAGTTAAACTCGGCTACACATTAGCAGAAGGTGATTGTCCATGCAGCAATCCAAAATGGTGTGAGCCTATTGTAGATGTACCTGAAAAGGAAGTATGCAATTATTTTTTTAATTTTGCAGTAATTTTTATAATTTTTTTGCTTTAATCTTGCTTTTTCTTATAAATTATTATTTATAAATGAACATTTATAGCTGTTTTTTACATGGTATAGATTACCTTAACTTTCTGTAAAAATCACTATTTAAAAATAAAACTTGTCACCTACAAATTGCAAAGATAGTTAAAAATTAATAATACGTATGGCTGAAAGCTTGATTTAAAAATCTAGTGGTCATTTTGAAAATGTGGTTGATAGTTGATAATTTATGAATTCTTCTTTTTTAGGTTTTTGCATTCTCAATAAGAAATGACCCCAGCCACTGGGCACGTTTTGATTGGTCTAAGCTTACCACGGTTGTTATGTTTGGATACCTCAATGAGTCACTGATGTGTCTTGCACATTCTTTCAATGTCAGGGTTGTGTTACTAGGTACTAATGCATTACTTAACTAATCTCTTAAAACTACACAATGTAACAAGCTATTGCAACTTTCGATAAAAAGAAGTGTTCAGTTTAAAAAAATTCTGTTTTTATTTATAAGGCTGGTTTTCAGATTTTTCTACTATCCCATATTCAAAATTGTATACACTAATTGTTGAAGTCTCTAATGGAAGTTAATATTTTTTTAATTCCTATACTACTGTCTTCTGAAATTGTTTTAAAGTTGTTGAAACATTGTTTAATTTCAGGGGATATTGATGTCGCAACATTTACAGATCCAGGGAAAAGGCAGTTATGGATTCTAAATCAGCTGGTGTTAGTTAAAAATAATTTTCTGGATGGAATTAATTTTGATTTTGAAGGTGAGGTTGCCGCTAATGACTCCACTGTAAGAGATGCCTATACCACGCTGGTTAAGGAGGCCAGTGAATATTTTAAAAAAGAACTACCCCATTCACAGGTATGTAATTTTGTTAAAGTAATATCTATAATATAAGAGATAATCAACCATGAAATGGTTATTTCAAAATTTATTTATTTCTGAAAATCCTGAAATTAATAATTGATTAGTAAACCAAGTGCATTATCAGTAAATTAAGCTTATCTGCTTATAAGTTTAATAATTTTGTTCAAAGCTTGTTTCAAAATGACTATTATTTTAATTTTTATTAACCACACAATCTACCTTTTTTTTTAATTGGTTTCAATTATTTATAGTGAAATGTTAACTGATAAGAAAATATTATTTGAAAAATAACCCATATCTCAAACTTTGTAATGTAAATGTAATGCATTGTTTTACTTTCATTGCAGTACTTGTTTCTTCTAAATTTTATTTTTAGATCAGTGTTGATGTTGCCTGGAAACCAAACGTAGATATACGTTATTTTGATTATAAAGGCCTGGCAGAATATGCAGACATATTATTTGTTATGGCTTATGATGAACAGAGCCAGATTTTGGGAGAATGCATTGCAGGACCTAATTCAGCCCTTGCGTCAGCTAGTAATGGTAATTAATAATAGAAAACTAATAAATGGATACAAAATTTTAGAGATAAAAAATAAACAATATGTAGGTTCCATCTTTTCTTACAGAAAATAAAAGATTATAAATGTAAAGGTAAAAGTAGAAATAGTTAACATTACTCAGTTTCTGGTATTAATGATTACAGGTCTTGAAGCCTACCTCAATGGGTATGATAAAAAAATACTTGCCAACAAACTAGTACTGGGAGTACCTTGGTATGGCTATATCTACCAATGTATCAGCCTAGTAGGGGTCAGTTGAATTTCCTTATTGTTTGCTGTTGATTATTTGTGTCTTAAAATTTGACTGAATCAATTGATTTTTAAAACTATTTTTGTAAATAAGTGTAAAATACTTTTTTAATGTTTGTACTTGCAGATTAACTTGTTTTAACCCAGCTGATTCACATAACCTTTGAACTTTTTACAACAGGATAAGTGCTACATACAGGAAGTGCCTTTTCGTGGTGTCAACTGCAGTGACGCAGCAGGTAAACAGTTTGACTATGGCTACATTTATAAACTTCTTCAGACCATGCCAGGAAATTACAGGTGGAATGCAACATCATCAACTCCTTATATAACAGTTCCAGTTAGTATTTGCTTTTTTACTCTACTATTTCTATTTGTGAGATTTTTCACACATTTTCATTGCAATTTTATTACAATTGTAACTTAGGCCTAAGCAATCATTTTTGTATTCAATAATTTGTTTTAAAGTTGTTTTTTTTTATGTTTAGGGTACATCAAGTGCTCAGGCTTATCAAGTTCAGTTTGATAACCCGCAGAGTTTGAAGTTAAAATATGATCTAGCCGCATCACTTGGATTGCGCGGGGTAGGAATGTGGAATATTGACTCTTTGGAATTTACTGATTCAGACATTGATACAAAAATTAGAAGTGATATGTTTGGAGCTCTTCCTTCAAGAGAATCAAAGAAGATTCATAGAACCAAACCTAACCCTACAGGTGGTGTGTGTCCTTGCAGTAACCCTGCTTGGTGTGAACCTATTAAAGACATCAACAGAACCGAGGTAAAAATTAAAATAATTTTCAATACGCTTTGATTTTTTTCCCCTAGAGCTAGAGATTTGCCTTAAGTGCAATATTTATTTACTGCTAAAATGTACTTTTTAATTACTTTGTTAAGTTGGCATTAAAATATCTAAACCTTCATAAAAAATGTCATGTTTTGTTTTTTACTTAGAGTAATTTTTTTAATAAAAAGAAACTTTTATTTGCTTTACTTGTTTAGATATTACATTTTTTACTTATTTCCATACTTTTCAAGAATTCATTTTCATGTTAAATAGGTCTTTGCTTTCTCCACTGTAAATGATGACAAAAACTGGAATCAATTTGACTGGTCCAAAATAACAACAGTTTGTATGTTCAACTATGTGAACATATCTCTTATGTGCTTGGCTCATTCGCACAATGTTAGAGTTGTTATCAATGGTAAGTAACTGATGTATTCTTTCTAGCAATATGTTATTATATTGAGACTTTAGATGTAGTTAATTAAATTATTTGTTTTCATAAATGTTTCCATTATACACTTTTAATTATAAAAGAGGCAATAAATAATATATTCAGGATTGTAAATGTAATTAAAATAGAAAAAAACTTTTGTTAATGGTAATTTAAAAAATATACACACACTCTATCTTTATACCAAAATAGATGGAAAGTAATTGAAATTTAAACCATAATTTACATTGAATTATGAAGAAATTAATAAATATTCAAAACTAAATATAGTACTAAAGTACACAAACAATTGCTTATAATAAAGAGAATCTCACAGTTATGTATAAGATCATGGGACATCATAACTTAGCTGTAGAGCACCAGACTGTTAACCTGTCTGGACTTCGAATTGGGTTCAAGTCAGTCGAGCATATCTGAGTCCACCCAGCTCTTATGAGTACCTAACTCACTTTAGGGAAACAAAGGCGGCGGTGCATAGTGCAGCAGTCATTGAAACAGATGAACTCTACTCCATATGCCCCATGATGATGTACAAGATCATAAATATTGTGTGTCTATTCCTATTTTACAAATATTGGATCAGTGGAGCTTATTTTGTCTGGGTAAGACATTCTATTGACATTCACCTTCTGTCGTTGTTCCACCCACAGGAAACTTTGATGAGAAAACCATGCTTGATCCCACCTTGAGGCAACAATGGGTGGCCACTCAACTACAAACTGTCAAGGATAACTTTTTAGACGGCATCAATTTTGATTTTGAAACTGGTGTCAGTCCATTACAGAAGAACATAAGCAACGCCTACACTGCTCTTGTGAAAGAAACTTACCTTGCGTTTAAACAATCTTTACCTTACTCTCAGGTATATTTCAACTAGCCTCTGTAATAACGGCTTATTTGTTTAGCCAAATAAAACTGCAACATTCCATCTATATGCTTTTTGCTTGTTTTGTTTTGTTTTTATTATGGATAGTATAGAAAAGTTGTAGTTTTTTTTTTATATATTGGTTTTCAAAATTAAACTGCCACTTGCCTTTTTGCTCTTTAAAATCTTTACTTTAGACTTTAAAATTTGTGTTCACTATCACTTTTCTAGTTTTTCATGTTTTATAAATATGACTTTATTCATTAATTATTAAACTATATGGAAATTTCTGTTTTAAATCAGCACCCAATGTCGTTTTAATGAAAATATAATTGTGCTATAATCAAAATCATTTTTAAAAAGTTAAATTTTAAATTTTATACTTAATCTTTTAAATTGTTAAGCATGGAATTCTACAATAATATTATTGCATATATTAAATGCCTTCAAAGCTGTAAAAATACTCTAAATCAGGTATTTAATTTTTTCCGTTCTTGAAACGTATGTTTGAAACTTACATCAGTTTCAATAAATAAAACATTAAGACTTTTAACTGAAACATATAGCACAATGCAATATCTATGGTTTGGTCTGCTTTACTTTTTATCTGAGGGATACATGTTCATTAGATTTTATTCTAAAACTGCTTGATTTGACAACATAAAAGCAAGTTAACTATTTTTCAAGATTTTTAATGCACATCAAAATATTATTTTTTATCTTTATTAAATGCAGTAGAAAATAAATGTACTTACAAATACTTTGAAATGATTCACATGATACTCAGACATATTTTTAGCATGAAGACATGACATACACTGTTCTCTGAATATAAGTGTCAATTTTTAGCATGAGGACATGACATAAACTGTACTCAGAATATAAGAGTGTCAATTTTTTTAACATGAAGACATGACATACACTTTTCATGGCTTGCACTTTTTACTTATTATAAAGATGTCATTTTATTTTTCATTCTTTTGCTCATTGGCCCAATAAAACAGAATTATAGTGCACAAAACGCTAACATTATTATCCTTATTAAGTAAGATTTGTTTCAGAACTTTGTTTTTACAGTCAGTGTTTTTTGTAAATGTATTTTGTTGAAACTATAGGCATTGTTGATTCATGCAAAACACAGAAGTTTGGTTCACACCATAAAAACTGTTTTGTTCTTCATTTATTGTCTGATAATCTCAACAAGAATAAACATTTGCATTTAAAATTTCCTTTTATTTTATTATTCTTTGTTTGCTCATTGAAGTTCCATTAGGGTAGCTTAATGTAAGATAAGACATTATATTATTAATATTTAAACTAATACTAATAACTGATTGATTATCTTTTGTTTAGCCAAACTATTTCTAGAAAATTCAGAGAAATTATAGACTGTCAGTGTCAGATTGTACTTTGATTTTATATTTAATATGAAACATACGCTCTTTCAGATAAGCATAGATGTGATAGACAATGCATACAGCACCTATCGTGCATATGATTACAAATCACTTGCTCAATACTCAGATTTCTTTTTCATAATGGCTTATGATGAAAGTGGACCAAATCATGTTGGTCCTAATTCCTACTATGACCAGGCTTATAATGGTATGTCTCTTAAGTGACTTATTGAAATAGCATTTATTTTATAGAATTATCTCCCATACATTTATAAAAATATAATCAGGGGAAACTACTTATAAAGTAATCCGTAAACAAAAACCTAGATAAGATTATTTTCCTACCAACAATAAGTTCTTAATAAGATATTATTATTAGTAGGAAAATAACATATTCATGATAGTTTGTTTATGTGTAGATGTTTAAAACAAATTATTTGCAGCAAATATGTTTAATTATTTATTTTTGTTGAAAAGGCAAACTTTAATGTTTTAATATACCTAATCATACAAACCTTCAACTTCACATTTTAATAATGCACGAGTTTTAAGTTATATGAGTGATCATAACACTATCATTTACAAATTAAAGATTATAAAAATCATTTATGGCAGATTCATGTTGTAAATACTGAAGTTACTTCACTTATTTATTACTACATCAGGACCAGGTTTTTAAGACTAAATTATCTCCCTTAGCTTGCCATTTATAAAGAGTCAATATTAAGGTAAAGTAAGGGGTGGTTGGAGTGCATGATCAACACTGGATAGCCTCTTTCATCTAAAACCTGCCTACCCACCTGTAGTTTATACAAGACTGATCAAATTAATCTATATAAATAACTACATAATCTGTCGCTAGGCACACTATCAAACACTATATAGTGTTTAACATAAGTATAAACATATAAAACACAGTTGCAATACAAAATCCTATACTTTTTTGTCACCATTTATGTGACTGTAAACTTCAGCCTTGTTTTTTTTTTTATCATCATCACAATCCAGCTATCAAATCCTTTGTAGAAGATGGTATCTCTGCCAGAAAACTTGTGCTAGGTCTACCGTGGTATGGTTATGTCTATGAGTGTTTTATTCTAATTGAGGTAAGAACTTTAAACATTCAGATAAGCAATTTGGGCTGCTCTCTAAACTAACCCATTAGAAATGCTTTTTTTAAAACTTTTTTGCTTTAATTTTTGTGTAGGAGCTGTGCATTCACAAACCAGGTTCAAGCAATCAGTTCAGCTACTCCACCATTTATTATATTCTCAAGAATGTGCCCAATGCCTACAGATGGAACTCTGTGTCATTGACTCCATTCTTCTCATATAAAGTAAAATTGTTTGTTGTTTTTTACTTCTATGATTAAAATTATCTTTAATAATAAAATATTTTAAAATTGAATAAAACAATACAAAACAGATGTGGAAAAAAAGATAATTTTTTTGTAAAAATAGAAAGAAAAAAAAATTTAAAATGCATACATTTGATTAACTAACAGCAGTTTTATTCAATTCATTCACTGATCAAGCTAAATTCAAAAATAATTTGTTACTTTACATTAAATGCTTTTAAATTTATTCAGTGTGTTGGGTTGGCTTTAGAAATTAAGAATTAAAAAAAAATATTTAAAAAACTGTTACATTACAAGAGAGAGTTCATAAGGTCATTTTAGGCTAGGTAAAATTTTCCTTTTATATTACATTTTTTCTATAAAAACATTTTTATATTTTTCCATGAACAATCAGATCCTGATAAAGAAAGTGTATTGCTTTGGTTTGAAGATAGCTATATTTAAGGAACACACCCTTGTATCTTGTTTAACAGGATTCCAAAACCAACAAGATTTACCAAATTCAGTTTGATGATCCGAAAAGCTTGTCTTTAAAGTACAAACTTGCTGCATCAGAAGGTATTAGGGGTGTTGGAATGTGGACCATAGATTGTTTGGACTACTCTAACTCCCCAGATGCTAGGGAGATGAGGGCAGCCATGTTTGGTTGTCTCCCTGGGTACGATCTTCTTTTTTATTATTTTCTACTGTTCATAGCAGTGACTGTTTGGAAGGTAAAGAACTAGTCATTGATGAAAAACATAAGAATTTATTTCCTTGCTCAAGTTAATGCTTAAAGTTAAATAGTAGAAGTTCTCTTAGAAAGAAAATATGACGTTTGAACAAATGTGAAATTAAAATTTGTGATTTAAACTACACTTTAAAAATGTTAACCAACAAAGCAGACACATTTTATATAAAAATGCATTAACATTATCAGAAGAATTTAAATTACTTTAATTATTTTCATAGTGTTGAGGATTTGAAAGAATCAAGTGAAGAAAAAGACCTGGAGCCTGGACTAATTGCTCACAAGGAAATTGACATAGAACTTTCTAAAGCTCCAACAGCAAAATGTCCTTGTAAAGATGAAAGCCTGTGTGAACCTATAAAAGACACAACAAGAAAAGAGGCATGCTAGTTTCTAGGTTTTCTGTAGTTGGGATTGATTGAATTAAATATGTAAAAATTATCTAAACTTGTTTTTGCACATAAATTAGTTTAGTTCTATTTTGTTTTAATTTGGAGATTTAACCGAATTTTGTTATATTTTTCATTTCTCTTTCTTTAGGTTTATTTTTTTTCTATATCAAATAATGCAAGTCACTGGAGTAGATTTGATTGGGCAAAAATAACAACAATCTGCATGTATAATTATGTTAACCCTGAACTGATGTGTTTAGCTCATGCACACAATGTTAGAGCTGTTGCTCTAGGTAAGCCAGTAAAAGATTTATTTTTTTTTAACTTTCTGCACATTAGCACAAGAGTTCTCTGTCCTGGCCCATTCTCCACTGGCTCAGTGTAAGGTGTCTGCTTATTTTGACTTTTTTTTTTTCTTAACCTTTTTTTAACTTCTCATGTTGCATTAGCATTTACAACATCCTTAAATCCATGCTTTTCTATTATTTGCTATTTTTCCCATTTCTTTCCAACTATTTCCAATAATTTTCATTGCTTTTTCAATTTTCCTATGCATGCCAGACTTTTTGGATCTCATTCTTTTTCTTGATTTTTGTGGATTCCATGATATGCCTTGTCTGATAATTTTTGTAGCCAGGTTTTTTTTTCCTTACCTATATGTGTCGGCTCTTTTTTGGTGGTTGTCTAATGATGTTTGCTGTCACACATTAATAAATCAATAATTCTTATGGTCGAAGTAGATTTTCAACCTAACCCAATACAAGTGGAATAAAAAATTCTTTTTGTGATCTAGAATTAACACAGAGGTCCACACCTTCTTTATCTGATTTTGTTCTGATTTTATTTAGAAGTAATGACTACAGATAATAATGGTCTATCTATGATGATAACATAAGGGAAATAACTCTCCACAGGGGTAGTAACTGAGGTCATGATGATTACTCCTGAACTTCGGCAACAATGGGTGACCCAGCAGTTACAAATAGCGAAGGACAACTTTTTAGATGGGCTGAACTTTGACCTTGAGATAAACATAAGTCCAGAGCAGACAGACTTGAGGGACGCTTACACTACATTGGTCAATGAGACAACGCAAGCTTTTAAAAGAGAACTTCCATATTCTCAGGTGAAGATCTTGGTCAAAATTATGTCTTCTTTTTATTTTTGAGGTTGTAAGAATTCTTTGTCTTAAATGTATATTGTGAATTTCTACCTAATAAATAGCAATGTTTTGATTGTAATGCAACAAAGAAGAATAATGTATTCAAATAGAATCATATTTGCCTATTTGATTATTAAATAATTAATATAATTAATCAGTTATAAGTTGTTTCAGTGTTTTCAGCATTACTATGTTATTATTGTGTATTATTGAACCATTTTTTAAAAATATTGTGTGATTATCCCAACTCCATAGATAAGCGTAGACGTACAAGCTGACGCCTACACCGTCTCCAGGTCGTATGACTATGTAGCTCTGTCTAAGATTGTTGACTTCTTGTTCATCATGGCCTATGATGAAAGTGGTTTTGATGTTGTAGGCCCCAACTCCGATGTCCCAGATACATTGAAAGGTAGGATATTTTCCGTCTTCGTTTAGTATTTTAAAATGACGAATGTATTGTACTTGTGTGAAAAGAAAATTGTAAATTCCTACATTTTATAACATATACTTATGTAATGATTATTTTCTGTTAAACCTGAAATAGCACAAAAATGTTTTTTTCTAAAAATGTTTTAATATAAGCTTACTAATTTACTTTAAATTATATACATGTTTTATCTTTTCTCCTGTGTAAAATATATAAACGGTCTTAGAGTAGATTGTTTTTATACTCCTAGGAATTGATCATTATTATCAAGAACAGATAACTGCTAACAAATTGGTGTTGGGGTTGCCATGGTATGGCTATATCTACCAGTGTGAGAAATTAGTTGGAGTAAGCAGTTCATAGGTCCACTCTCTTATGGTGTAGGATACACTATATTTTAAATTAAATAATTTTTTAAAAATATATTCATATTATAGTTATAAGATGATGATAAATATCTAATTATCTGAGGAACTGTGGAACTGTGGAACAAATCAGATTTTAATGATATAATTTTTTTAACCAACTCAGGATAACTGCTACTACAATAATTCTAATGAGCTCTCAGCAAACAAAGCCAGGCAAGTAGATTATAGAACCATCTACACACTCTTGAAGGCCAGACCTGAGAAATATCGCTGGAATGCCACAGCTGAAACTCCTTACTTCTCTTACACTGTAAGTTTTAACCTGTTTGGATATATCACTTAGGATAACTTATAGCCAGCACATTTTAAAATAATAATGCAGATGTAGTCTCACAAAAGTTAATGTTCTTATTTTTTTTAGTTATCTTTGCTATTCTTTTTTTTTAATTTGCACTTTTACAAACAGTGTTATTAATCTTTATCATTAAAATTTGAAGAAATAAAATTTGAATACATGTCCCGTGCTGGTTGAGTTTATACTTTTAGTAAATCTCAAATGTATATTTTGGTATATTTTGTCAATCAGTAACATTCTGTTATTACATTGATTTTTTTTATCTGACAGGATTTAACAACAAATGCATCATATCAAGTTCAGTTTGACGACCCTGACAGTTTGATGATTAAATACAAACTGGCTGCAGAGTTAGGTCTTCGTGGCATTGGGATATGGACTATTGACTTTTTAGACTATTCTGATACACCCGAGGGCTTGGATATGAGAACATCCATGTTTAATGCTCTCCCTTATGTGAACCCATATGTGGTGTCTGATGCAGGGCTGATTGATGTGGACTATACAGCTATTGATGAGCCTGAGTTTGAAATAGATGATGTGAACATTAGTCCTTACTCTGCAGAAGTGAGAGCTCCAGTCTATGACACTGATACAGTTGCATTCAGTGACTGCCCTTGTAGTGACCCAAAACTTTGTGAAAGTGTTAAAGATACTGACAGGCAGGAGGTAGGTCATTATGTTTTTAGTGATATTTGTTTCAGTTTATTTTTGAGTTTGTTTTTAATAACAGTGTAAAAAATAGGAAAAATTATTATTTTTGAAGTAAAAGTATTTATTTGATAACAATAATAAACCCTAAACAAGAATGAGTTTGGTACTCTTTAACTACAGCAGTAGTTTCTTCAATTTATTTAACAGCACTAATTAACTGATTACTTTACATATAAATTATCTGAAGTTTTTACAACATATTTAGCTTTTAACAATTATTTTGTTTTATTTTGTGCAAGGTTTTTGCTTTTTCAATTTCAAATGATGAGAATAATTGGAAGGGATATGACTGGTCAAAAATAACTACAATTTGCATGTTCAAGTATCTAAATTCAAGCCTAATGTGTTTAGCACATTCACACAATGTCAGAGTTGTCATTCTTGGTAAAAGCAAAATACAGTTTTTAATATTTGTAATTTAAAATAATGTAGAAACTATATTTTAAAACATTAATTTTTAAACCACTAACTCTATAATTTGTATTGTTTTAATAAAGGTGAGGTTACAAAAGAAATTATGATGTCACCTCAGCTGAGAAAAGACTGGATCTCCAGTCAATTACAAATAGTCAAAACAAACTTCTTAGACGGTCTTAACTTTGACTTTGAAGGATCTGTATCTCCCCACGAAGATCAAATTGCTGAAGCTTTTACTTCCCTTGTTAAGGAAACTAAAGAAGCCTTTACTGCTGAGCTACCCTTTTCTCAGGTATGAACATCTGCTGGACATTGTTCTATTCAAGGTATCTTTATTTTCTCTCTTTAAAAATAAAAGTTTAATTAATTAGTCAATATTTAACTCATTGACTTTATTTTAACACAAAAACGACCTGATTTTCATATTTAATTATATTGCATATTATTCTTTAGATATAACTAGCCGTCCCGGCCAGGCCCTGCTCTGGCTTCTGTGAAAAACCTTCCTGTTAAAGACCATTACCTGTGTGTTTAGTAATCATCATAAACCCGGCATTGCCCACCCAAACCACAACCAACCAAAACCAAAACAACAAAACGCAAACATAACGCTAACACAATTACAAATACAAACGAAAACAAAAACCTAACAACAAACCCAACCACAACCACAAACACCAATACAAACACAAAGAAAAAACAAACAAAAAAGCAAACGAAAACAAAAACCTAACAACAAACCCAACCACAAACATCAATACCAACAAAAAAAAAAAAAACAACGAAAAAGCAAACGAAAACAAACCAAATTCAAACGCAAAACCAACCAAAAACACAAATACAAACCCAAAAAAAAAAACACAAACAAAAACGAAAAAAGAAAGAACAAAAACGAACCAAATCAAAACGCAACCACTAACGCAAACCCACCTAAACACAAAGAAAACACTAACGCGAACCTGTTTTAGCTTAATGAACGACTATAGTACCCCAACTTATTCATAGTCTTTTGCACTCACTTAAACGAATGCGCCTGTTTCAATTTGATGAACAATTTTAATACTCCAAGCTTATCCGTAAAATACCTACAACATTTGCACTTGATCAATCCCCGCTAATTATGTAATTATTTTTTTTTCCCAACACCAAAACAAAGTAATTAAAAAGTAAATTATTTTCGACTAATGCAATGGTTTTATAAAGGGAAGTAATTTTGTTTTCCTAATTTATCAAAGGGAAGTAAGTGCTATAGGACTAAATAAAGACATAATTAGAATTTTTGTAAAAGATGATATTTTTTTTAAACTTGTGTTTAATGAACATGCCGACAATTATTACTGTAATTTGAAAAATGAAAATGATTTCCCAACACTTTCAATGGTAATTTTTTAGCTCATAAATTTAGACAAATGCGCACGCTAATTTTCTAACACTTAAATTCGTACAATTCCAACGACATACAAATGCATTACATACAGAACTGAGCTTTATATATTAGATTTAAACTATTCTGTGTATGCCAAACCTCTTTACATTACTTTGTTTTCCTTCATCTACCCCCCAATTATTTTGTAAAACGTTTGTTGAATGTAACACACTGTAAGACTGTGCACATATAGTATTTTGTATTACTTTTTTATTTATTATAATGTTATATATCAATATTCTCACTTAGCTGCGTAGTTTTGTTGTTGTTGTAAATCTCCAGCACAATGATTTTACTTGATTTACAAAAAAACATGCTGCACGTGAATTTTTTCTTCTCTGGTTGGGAAATCAGCAAAAAAATAGCCAAAACATTTGTTTACTAAAAAATCATTCATAATTATTCACCAAACATTCTCTCTTGTTGTACACAGATCAGTGTTGACGTTCCATTTGCAGCATCATTACCAGACAGGGCTTATGACTACCAAGGTTTGGCCCAGGCTGCAGATTTTCTCTTTATTATGGCTTATGATGAGCAGTCAGCAACCACTGGTGGAAACATTGCTGGCCCTAACGCTGGCTATTCAATAACTGAAAATGGTATGGGTGGAATAGTAGACAGTATGTGTGTGCAGAGGGTTTCATAGCATATTTAATGTAATGTTTGGTTAATAGTGTACAGTATGTAATGATTGTTTAATGGTATATAATGAGGGTTTCAAAGCATATGAAATGTAATGTTTGTTTAATAGTATCAAATATGTGATGGTTGTTTAATGGTATACAGTATGTTAGGTTTGTTTATTAACACACAATATGGGATGTTTTGTTGGTTTAATAGTAAATTATGTTTGATAATTAAGTCAGGTAAAATAATAATGGATTACAAAAATGTGAAACATCTAGATTTTAACCTTTCTAGTATTTTCGTGTAACCTATTTAGAATTATTTACTTTATGATTGGAAGTGGATTTTAAAGTATTAGTAATTTATGGTGGGGGGGGGGGGGGGGGTAGAGTTTAATGGTTTAGTTACACATTTTAATGCCCATCTTAAATTAATCCCCTCTTCTCCTGTGATATTAAATTTGTATAGTGCATAGGAAATAACAAATGCTAAATTTTTGTTGTATGTAGAACACAACTGAACTTGTTTGTACTGGTTGCAAGTTTTTTTTCTCTATATCCTTACCTAGTTTACTACTCAAATATTTTCAATTTTAGGACTGCTCAGTTATATGATGGGTCCAGGTTGCCAGATAAGCTCTAATAAACTTGTGCTTGGGTTACCCTGGTATGGGAAAATTTACCAGTGTACACAACTGGTTGAGGTAAATGTCTAACAACTCTTCTACTATAATGTTATAAATTTTTTTTATTCTTTAGTTCTATAATTAAGTCACGTAATAAAATATTATATATAAGGTTCAAAACAACGTAATTAAAAACAAATCATATTTTTCTTAAGGAACAATGCATATTTGATGAAACAAGTGGGGTGGAATATATGAACTACACTGAAGTTCAAGATGTTTTGGAAACTATGCCAGATAAATTGAGATGGAACTCAACCACTTCCACACCTTACATAACCTTTCAGGTAAATTTAACTCTACATGATATAAATTTAATTATCAGACCAATGACCTAAAAATCTAGTTGAATGGATAATTGTGGTTTCTTTGAATAATAGTTTAAAATTAATAGGTTATTTTTTAAAATTCTGTAAAAGAAAAGGAGGAAATGTTTGTATATTTATAACATTGTTTGGTAGTGCAGGCTCTTCACTTTTATTCATTGTATCTCACCTTCAATGCAACTTCCTGTATCTTAGTTTAACAGAAATGATTTATTTTTTGACTTGCTCTTAACTTCAAGGCAATATCTGTGTTTAAGTCTGCATACTGAATTTCATCTCATAAATTATTTTTAGCTAATTAACCAGGAAAAAAAATTGGTAACACACCCCATTAATCATGATTAATGAACTTACCTAGTATTTAGAAATTTCCATAAGAAAGTTTGTTATAAAACAGTTTTTATTCATTGTGTAAAAAATAAAATGCATTAAGTTGCCATTATATTAAAATGTAATGCTTTATATATTATAAGAATATCTTTTGTTTTACAAAGTATTTATAATTTTTATACTAAAAAAATAACTTTCTGTTTTAAGAATCCTGAAACACAGGTGAGGTACCAAGTCCATTTTGATAATGTCCTGAGCCTGACGCTCAAACATAAGTTGGTGATGAAGTATGGTCTTAAAGGTGCTGGCATGTGGACCATTGACTACATTGATTTTTCAACCACAGAGAAGGGAGAAAGGATGAGGCAGGAAATGTTTGGTGTTTTTAATTAATATTTTTTTGGCATCCACAAAGTCATTTGAAGGAAAGCTACTACAAAGTATGGATGTAGCTTTTTAATATATAGCACTATTTTATATATCTATATATGAATTGTAATTTTTTAAAAGTAAGCTAATAAAATCATTTTTAATAAAAAGAAATAGAATAAACCTTTTTAACTCAGTATTTGAAGAGCATACATTTTTAAAACTGTTTAAGTTGGAGGTTGAATCAGATAAGATTTTCTTTTTTTTACATGTTTTATATTTTTTCAAGGACCAGTTCAGAAGTTTTTTTACATTTTAAAGTGGTGCATACATGAACTTTCCTGGCTGTGTTTGTATTAAAGTCCTGCTGTTGTGATTTATAAAGTACAAGTGGGCCCTCCTTGTTGAATGCTTTGTAAATTCTGCACAAAATATATCCAAACTGTGATGAAAACACTGAAATGTTTATGATGTTAATGCTATTAATATTATTTATTTCTTGTACATTTTTATAACTGAGAGCAATACTTCTAATTTTATTTACATAAAGTTGTTTTTTTTAAACTCACTGCAAAATTTAAATATTTTATTCAATATATTACATTCCAATACAAAGTATTCCTTGTGTTTGATTTTTTAAATGTGAAGAGAATCCATTGATCAAAGTAAATATATTTTTTTAAAGTACTTGACTTTTATTTTTACTACATACTACTTCTAAACTTTAAAGAATATCTTACAAACAAAAAAAAAATGAAATAATACATGTAATAAATGTATAATATCCAGTCAAAAAAATGTATACTAATTTAGACATGACATGATGAATCAGAGAGTCGAGTTTGGGCAGTAACTGAATCAGGTTAGGGAAAGTAAAAACAGCTAAACATACAACTGACCACACTGTCCTTTCATATATAGAAACTGAAGAGCTCTACCGCATCTTCCCTATTGATAGCCAGGTTTAAAAAGATAACTACAAATTTTTACTTAAATAGAAATACATTAAGTATTTTAAAGTCACATTAAAAATATGAATAATGAAAATAATTTACTGAATATAAAGCTAAGTAACAGTGTAATTTCAATTTAAAAAAATAGATATACTACTAAAGGCTACTCAGAAATAAATAAAATAAAGCAAAAATAATAACTAAAATTATTTACTTTTATTGGTGTTCAATTGTTTACATTAGCAACTGAATCTTAATGTGTAATGAGGCAATTGGGAAAACAAATGACAATGACAGTATGCAGAGTAAATTGGTAAATTCCCATTTCTGAACCATCATAACTAACACATTTATACTCACTTGTATAAAAAAAACTAAATAAAACCATTACCATACAATGTTAAAACATTTTTTTTTTAAATTCTTTTGAGACCAGTAATATTTTGTAAGACAATTGAACAATAAATTGCATAACCCAAATGGAATAAATAACTAAGTAAAAGACAAATAAATGACACCCTGTTACAATCTGCAAGAATAACAATTAATTTTTCCAAAAAGATGAGTTACAGTATTTATTAACATTTTATTTTACATTGCTTGTTCTAGCAATCCTTTCAATGTAACTTAAAAGCCAATATTTTTTACTATTAAATCTAAAGAAAGAAATGTATCTTCTTATTTTAAGTGCTTTTAAATTCTATTTTTATACCTATTTTTATGTTTGTTTCATTTTATCATTAAATAATTGAAATAACTTTTAATTAAAAAAACTGTGTACCCTAGTTTGATCATCCAACATTGGAAAGTTAAAGAATCAAATTTATAAGAATTAATAATTAATATCAACAATTTTGGCGTAACATTTTTTAAAATTTAAAGTCTCTAAAGATCAGGTTTTTACTAGTTATCTAAAACAGATATTGATTTTCAACACTTTCAAAGTAAGAGAAACAATAAAAGTTAGTATGTTCAGTAAGATTGTCATTGAAGACGGCAACATTTGAAAATGTATTAAAATATTTACATGTATTTACATTTATATAACGTTGTTAGGAGGTCTTTGAGTGAAAAAATTATGAAGTTACAATTAGATACCATAATTTCTAAAAAAATAATCTAATGTTAGTTTTCCTGTTATAATGTGAAAATAATCTTATATAATCTGGCAACCAAAGTTATGAATAATACAACCATATTGTTACCATTATGATAATCATTACCAACAGTAGTTCAGAATAGAAGCTACCTTGCTTTTGTTACTAAGTTCATATCCTGAATCAAAAAAAGCTATTACAATACCAAATGAAGTATAATAAAAAAAACTAAAAAGTTGTTTCTTCTTCTTCTTCGTTCTTAATTTTTAGTGTTGGAAAGGATCTAGCTTTATTTGCCAGAGGGTTTGAGCTCGAGACTTTTTCGAATTTATCAACCATGAGCTTTTGCCGACTCGACCAAGTCTCCACCACAATTAAGGATACTTGTCAACTGGTTATGCACCATATAAAGTTGCTAAATTCTTAAATTATGAAAGTGAATGTTTTCATCTTTTCCATGAAGCAAAAGCAGAGTTTTAAACTATGAATTAAGCAATCAGATTAAAACAATCAACTAATACCTTAGCTCTGGGACTTAGAAAAAAATATTAGATCTGCAATATTCAATGCTGCTTACATTCTAAAAATGAAGTTTTTCTAATACCATTTAATTTTTTTAAAACATCGGGTAGACTTGCGCCACCAACATCAAATGGCAAGCTAATTAGCAGGGTGAAAACAAAAGAGACTGACTACACGTGGCCTTGTTTTGCAGGTGACAGATGCCAAAATGTTTTGAAAATGTAACAAACAGTAGCAAACCTAAGCAACTGTGGCACTAGGTCAGGTAACACCCAGTGACTTAATGCAGAGTGTCACCCCCCCCCCCCCCCCTACATATAACTTTAATAAGCTAAGAAACTAACTGGAAAAAAGATTTCTCACTAAAATTGGGTTATTTCGTTCTGGCATCACCCTTATGAATGTTGTCGTGCTGTTTGGTCCACAACCCCTATCCCAGCCTTGTGGCGCTATACCCACTACATAAAAGATAACTGACTTTGTAAGAGAAAATTGTCCTAAGTGTCCTATCTCCATACAATAATAAGACCAAATAATTATGTGTAAAAATTGTCCTAAGTGTCCTATCTCCATACAATAATAAGACCAAATAATTATGGTACAAATATTTTTTTATCTCAATAAAAATAAAATAAATAAATAATGCTGACTTACAAGATAATTTCTTTTTTCTTTCGGAATATCATCACCACACACATTTTGTACAGAGCTTTAGCAGGAAGTGTGGTGTTTGGTCTATACAAAGTTTTAGGTAAATTATGATATGGAACAAAATGAAGAAACCACCAGTTTATGCAGGCTCCTTTCATTTTTTTGAATATCATGGTTTTTGGGTTGCTTTAGTAAGAATTCTAATCAATTTAGGTAACAAAATAAATGGGAGATAAATATTGCTCAGTCAGATGACAAATAAAACAAATACAAAGAAAACACTGCAGCAAGATTCTAATTATTCCCCAAGTGGTAAGACTTTTATCAGCTTTATAACATCATCTAGGTCGCACCAACATTAAAGGGGTTAAATAAACAAAATATACTTTTATATAGAACTCATGAATATGAAATGTGCATATTCGATTCTTTTTTTTTTTTTGCATGTCTGATGCAATAAAGCTGCTTATGAAGAAATTTTCTTAGATTCATGTCAACTTTTATTTAGTAACATATAGGAAGAGTTAAAAAATGTTTCATATTACAAGAGAATATAATCTTATTTATAAGAATACATATTAGAAGAAAAAACAACAACTTCCAAATTGATAACTTTTAGAAACAGAATTAGATTTGACATCTACAAAAAACTGATTTCAGATCATACATGTAATTTTTTTTTAAGAAAACCTTAATTTTTTTTTCACTAACAGAAATTGTCTTATATTTATATAACTTATATTTATATTAAAATCTCTAATCATCAAAGAGCTATAACAGTATCAACATGTGAAGAGATCTAATCTCAGACTGAACCAAAAGTTTCCTGGGAGGCATAAACAATGTAGAGGAATCCATCTTCATCTTTCTCTCGCTCATACACATCCACCAGGGGTGTGGTGTTACTCACCATGCTACGATTGTTAACCAGTAGAAAGAAGGCCTGAGATGGTGAAAGCTGTAGCCTGCGCCTGTCATGACAAATTTTTAACATACATAAATCAAGTTAAATATACAATCATCTAATAAATTTGTTTTCAAAATATTTTTAAAGAATATAAAAACTATACAAAATAAAAAATTTTAACTTAAAATTATTGTTTTAAAAAAAGCAATAGATTGAATGTTGTAAGGATTTGACCAATCATATTAAAACCAAAAATCACATTTGCCAAATTAAGTCTTTCTTTTCAAATTAGTGAAACTGCCTTTTGAATAAATTATGAATTAGAGATGTCTAATCAGGCAAACAACTTGAAAAAACTAAAGGTCTATAAATATAAATCATTTTATTTAAGACAATTTTTATCCCCATTTTTTTTTACGCAATCCCACCACCAAACCCCCACCCCTGAAAATACGACACAAAATATCACTACCCCTCATCCCAATAAACATAATTCTAGCAAAAATTGATTTTATCATTCTTATCAGTACATCAGTGAATGCTGGAAAGTAACAACTGCTATCATCAGATCAATGGCATCCCATGGCCTAACACCATCTCCAGTAATAGCTTATAAGAGAAATAGAAACTGTTTAAAAAATAATTAAAAGAATCAGATGGGGCTGACTGGATCACATTTTAAGAATGGGTTCAGATGTTATCATAGGAATGCCGCGTAACTGATGCCTCAAGAACACTGGGAAGGCCAAGGGAAATGTGGTGGAGCACAGCAAAAAAGCAACTGACCAAGGCAGGACCATCTTGGGGGTCTGCCAAGAAAATGACCAGAAAACGGCAAAAGTGGTAAGAGCTTTCTGTGGTGAACCCACAACAGATAAAAGAATGATGATGAACTGGTAGGCCAATATCAAAGAAAATAGCTCACTAACCTGATTATCTTCACAATGTCACTCATGTTTAAATTGTCTGGAATCAGAAATTTGCATTTGTCCATGATAGGAAGGTTTCTTTCCCCTCCATATCTTTCAATTATGACCTATAGTTAAAAAATGTAAAGCTTGAGAATTTCTATATAGAATAAATTTATTATTTTTTATTAGCTCTAATACCAATTTATTTTCAAATTTAAATTTATAACAACAGCTTAAAATGGGTAAAAATAATAGGAAAGAAACCAGAATTAAAGATGGAGTGTGAAATGAATTACAAATAGCCTTTGAGCACTATTTGTAGTTAACTATTTTTAACCACCATCATATTTTAACTTTCAACTTTTTAATTTAACCTGCACCACTTGTCGCAGTTGGAACACTTCAGGCAGCTTGCTTTGGGGCCATGGGTTTTTATTTTACGCTTTTTTTACTAGGCAAATAAAAAGACTGTTAAATTTTTTTTGTAGGATTAGGGATAAGGGTTAGTGATAAGGTTAGATCTAAATAGTAAAGACCTATACAACAGTACTTATTGCATTAATAGTGGAATTACAGGGGGAAAAAATGCTTTGCTCTGATTGACCAGTGTACAAATAGGTTAAGAAAGCTATTTGTACTGAACTGCAAATAGCCATAGTTTTAAAGATTAAGTGCTTAAAAAGTGAAAAGATTTTTCTGAATGCTATAAAAACTATAAAACTTACTGGTATCTTATTTGAGTGAGCACTTCTGACAGACTCTACATCCTTCTTTCGCTCAGCTAAAAAAAATTCAACATGTTTTAATTAATAATCAATGTTTCTATTTTACTACACTCTGGTTAATGCTCAGTCTGCAAAAAAAGCTCGCCTTTATTAGGCTGACAATTATGTTTTACATTTACATTAGTTTCTTTACCAAATTTTTACCAAAATAAAAATACTGCAATCAGTAATGGTAGGATAAGTTAGATAAGTATATTATATAAGTAAGATCTAAAGCCCAACTGCCTGCTAGCAGAGGGCCTTGAAGGTTAAAGCAAATATTTAAAATTTAAATAGGCAATTAGGCATTAGGCCTAAGTATAAAAAATATAGTTTACTTAATGATATACTATACTGTTTCAGATCTATAGTAATACTAAGTTAGCCTATAGACTGAGTAGAAACCTAGGCTTGGCCTAACTATAAATAAGTTAATAGTTATAGTTACAAGTATAAGTTTTTAACCTCAACCAATTCAATGATTAGTTTGGGTCTTGGTAAAATGTGATAACGCATTAAAATGCATAATGAGCATGGTTGCATCTGTTGGAAACATCGCTAGTCTTCATTTATTATTGAAAAGTTTTAATTCAATTGTTTAAAAACAGGTACATAAATGAAACAAGGGAAACATTTTTGTATTTTTCAAAACATAAAATCCTCCTCAAAATGTGAAATAATTATTAAAATTTAAAGAGTCACCTGTTTTTCACATTACTAGTCGCGGGGGTGTGGGGAAATTGCGAGACGCGAAAATGCGAGAAGGGCGCGAAAACGGTCGGTCACATGACTTTTTTGTCTCGCATTTTACCACAAGCCGATAGATTTCTGCGAAAAATTTACCGCACCCGATTTTCAGTGGTATTTGGTCCAGACTTCAAAGACGTTTCGTTTACATTGTTAAAACTTCAGATTTTTCGTCGCTAGACATACTGATGATTTGTCAACTCCCCCCATCTTTTGTGTCGACTTAGAATACCACCTTGTTCGAAACCGACGGAAATACCGCCGACGATAGATCAACTTCTGTCTTTTGTGTGGAACGCCGAGGCCGCCTTATTTACTGTCTTTGAAGATCGCTGTGCCCGGATCCGCTGCCGCCGCAAACATATTTTCTATTGTTGCATAGAAATTTTGTATTATAGCCGCCGCCTACGATTTTTTTCTAGCTTTTTTTTACCATATAAATCTAAGCACAAGGAAATGCCTACATCATTTGGATACAACTATTCTAGAGGTAAGAACTAACTGTGTGTTTTCTCTTCCAATGTTCCTTTAAACTAATTTATATTAGATTTTATATCACGGGTTTTGTGACTTTTCCGAATTTTCCCATAAATGTTATAATATTATTTATTAATTAATTGTAAATATATATATATATATATATATATATATATATATATATATATATATATATATATATATATATATATATATATATATATATATATATATATATATATATATATATATATATATATATATATAATTTATTATTTATTATTTTCATAAATAAGTCAGAAAAAATAACATCAAATTAAGTATGCGATTACTGCCCTATGTGAAGGTGAGGACTAGATTAACCCTCCCTTATTGTGTTGCTTATTCCTAAGCTTGTATGAACTCTCAATGCCCCCTGTTTTTTTCTCTTACTTACTGTTTGGGGAAAAAATAAAGTGACGTCACCAATATTATCAGTTGCTCGTGCTATATCGTAAGCTATGGGCCTGCTTCAAATATTTTTAAAACCAAGTTGAACTTATCTGAATTTTTTGGTTTTGGTGGTGGTGTTATTTGGGGTCTTCCATAAATGACGTCACACTCGTAGGGGGGGGGGGGGGTCTGTAATTTTATGACGATGTGTGATGAGAGGGAGGAGCGGGGGGGGGGGGGGGGGGGTTTAGATGTGAAGTCACACTATAAAAAAGCAATGTTAGAAAAAGAATTTTAGACGTTTTTTCGCATTTTAGAAAACTGTTTTAATACATTTTATAGGAATTGATTAAAATACTCTATTTTGACCGAAATTAGACCAGATTTTGGGAAAATATCGATGTTTTAAAAAAACTCAACTGCAATTTTGAGAGGGGTTGTCGGCTGAGGTGTCATTTTAGTGGGGGTCTGGATTTTTGTGATGATGTGTGACGGAGGTGGGGGGGGGGGGAAATCGTCAAAAAAAGCTTGACATCATTTATTGATGACCCCTTTTAGCTATTAAATGGTAGTTTTGTCGATAGCAGACCTTATTCAGATTATCTACAGACGCACTTTTTTTTTCATTCTGTTCATATTCGTGTTCTGTGTTAGCATTCGAGAGAATTTACAAGAAGCAGTTTTAGTTACTGCACCCTTAGGGAAGGACTGTTGCCGAAAGGGTACAATTCGTGATTGACAATGAACTGATCAGTTTAAATACTAAACTTGGTGTATTCACCATTAAAGGGTCAACAGACCCCAGGGTGGTCACCCTTTTTCCAAGGGAAACATGCTCCTGTCCGGCCGTTGGTAACTGCTATCACATCGTGGCGGCCAGACAGGCAGTTGGATTATCAACAGTTAGCAACAAGAAAAGCTGCAAGGAAGCGACAGGATAAAACTTCATGGTGTAAACATCCACGCCCCGCTGACGTAGATCCGGTTGGTGACAACAATGAGCAAGACATTGCCAAAATTACAGAAATGATAAAAAATACAAATTATAAAAAACGGAAAACAGATGTTGAGCGTGCGGGTGATGAGAACATGGGTGCCAGTGTTGTTTGTGGGATGAACGAGGAGGTCAACTGTGATGAGAATGTAAAATGTTGTGAATGTGGATTGGAAGAAGTAGCAAAAGAAAAATGTATAAATGGGAGTCTAATGAACTGGGTTAGGTTTACTATGTGTGAAAGATGGTGTCACGAGGTGTGTTTGAGGACTGTTTCAGAAGATTTTGTTTGTAAATTTTGTTTGTAATTAAAATTACTTAATAAAAAAATATATTGCACTTTTTAGAATTGTTTATACTTGTACATTTTTTGCAAGTACAAAAATCCATAAATAGATGTTGCAAAATATCTCTCCTGCTGACAAGATTATACCAATTCACAATGACACAGCTCATGTTTGTATAAACATGAGCGGGCTAGATTTTTAAATTAATGCCGACTGAGACGGGATTTTCCTCTCGCTAACAAGAGCGGGCAATGACAGTAGCACAGCAACGATGTTAGGATTTTTAAATAGATAGATCTAGATATAGATCTATCTATCTTCTTAGTATCTAGATAAAAAATAACAACATACAACACTCGTGTTAAAGTGTATAGCTAAATGCTTGTTTATTTTAAAACAAAAAAAATAATTTAAATAAATAAAGATGGAAAAAAAAAGAAAAAAACTTTTTTTCACAAAAAGTGTCTCGCTATTTACCCTTAATTCCGCAGGTATGTCTCGCATTACCTTCTCGCATTTTCCCGCCTCGCCATTTCGCTTTTCGCGTCTCGCAATATCCCCACACCCTAGTCGCGGGCGATTTTACGTACCTAAATTCCTAAAACGATAGATTACCGCCATTGATTTAGGTTTATTATTCATTTATCTATAATATTTCAATTATTTGACACAAACATTCACAATATTCAATATACTTCTATTAAAGCCTTGACAATGAGGAAACGTTTTCGTAAATTAATAACCGCGGGCGATTTTACGTACCCAAAACGATAGATTACCAAAAAAGTCAGACTCAAGAGTACAAGACTCAAGAGTCAAGAAATAAAATAAATATTTTTTACTAGACTAAATACTAGGGAGGCTCACTAACTTAAAAGCGTCCTTGGTTGCTAACCAGAACATGGCGTAAGGATCGGACCATGACTTCCGGCGAGTTTTTCGACTTATTTCCAGAGACCTTCTTAGAATTACTTTTAAAAATGTTTATCACGAGTAAAATGGCGGGTTTTCACGTTATAAAAACATGCTATAGGTGGCAAGGCTAAATATGCCAGAAAAGCATTTTCAGAAATTGCTTTGGGGAATGTAGGCTAAATTTAAAGTCGGTGTCATTCAAAATAATATAACTTTTTAAATATAGATCTCCCTATCACAAAATTGATTTCCCTAGTAAAGCATTATTAGTTTTATCATTCTATGAAAAAATAAATCAAATATCTTCAACCCTTTTTTTAATATGAGTGGCCAAAAAATGACAACCAATTTTTTTTTATTTTTTTGACCACGTGACCGCTATTTGAATGGATACGTTTACCTGGCATGGTTTTTTATTTTGCTCTTTTGTACAATAAAACATGTTATAAAATTAAAGAAATAAAAGAATTCAAACATCACTTCTGTCTTGTCTTTTTTAAAATTCTGTTCTGATGACATTCTCTTAATTTTTTTTCCTCTATAAATATATCCCGACGATAGACGGGCCAATTCTACTTTTAGGAACTCTCTTGTGAAAAAAAATTAGATCTATTTTACGGTCACTTAAAAAGTTAAACCTTTCAACTTTTAACCAGGTTGTCATGGATGATTCGTCATATCATAGCTGTGAGTGACAAAACATTTTAAAATTCAATAATTTAGCCTAAACTCGCTACAACCCCCAAATTAGTGCCTAGGGGATAAAGTATGGACGTTTTTTATTCAGTTGTCAAGTTTAAATTGAGAATTGAGTAGATTTCACATATAGTAAGAAAAACTACTAAATACAATTACAAAATAGTAAATTAATAAATATCTAGGCCTAAATAAAACTCTTACAAAGTGTTCTCCTTTCTTTAAATGTTAGTCTTCTTTCAATTTCTGTCGGGCTATTGTTACCACTGCTTTGAGGCATCATCTCAAAAAGAAATCTGTAGATCTAGTAGTAGTTCTACTTTTGACTTTTATATTTTGGTTTGTTAACCCTCTCTCCAGTTAATTTAATAGTGAAGTCTTGTTTACTTATTTTAGAAACCGGAAGTTTTCATGTTGAAGGCATGTCTATATTTAGAGCATGTCCATGATGTAACAATACATTTAAGTAGGTCTGATGATCCAAATTCTTATCCATAAAAACAGAAAACAAATATATGTTTTAATTTAATTAAACAAATAGCTCTAAACTAGTTTGATATAAAGATATGTATTGTGAATTAATATTATATTTTTAAAATAAATAAAAATAAGCGTATCCAATATTTTTTTTGTAAGAAAAAGTAACTCTAGTCTGAATCAATAGATGTCGCTATTGGTCTATTTTTATGGCACCCAAAAATTTGCAAGATATGTCATTAATTATTGTAACTACTAAAATACTTCACTGTTATTAAAGTATGTCTTCTGACTATATCCCCTGAAAAGCATATAAGAAATTATGGCGATAAATAATTTGGCGTTTATCTGTCAAATTTGTAAGTATGCAAAACATTGCCATTCATTGTCTACCTTAGAATGCCTTAGATTTTGTCACCTTTCTGCCTCTCTTACTTTGGTTGGTTCTGCAAAACTGGAAACAGTGAAATGTGAAAAACATGATATTAATAATATAATACTATACTTGACTATAGTACTAAGCTACTAACTAACTACTAACAACAACTTAGTTGTCAACTATTACTATAGATTAGATCTAGACTAGAATCTAGATCTAGAATCTAGTAACGTCATCTACACAAAACATCTTCTTTTTTTTATTATTTTGGAAACTGCTTCCATTTCCATCAATCCTAGCAATGAGTAGCAATCTATCTTTGCAGATGGTGTCAGGCCAGTGCATGCATTCCCTTACTGCTAACAATGACAAAAAATATTGTTTATTAAATAGAAACTTGGAGGTTTTTGATGTAAATATTGTCATTATTAACACTTTACTCTGTAAGATGTAAGATTTTGTATTCACAGGCTTTCTTATTGTAACTGGTGCCACGCAAAAAAATATGCCCCCAAAACAGCAATCATTGATATTGTCTGATATTGTAAGATCTGATGTTGAAGGGTCAACGCTTCAGGTACTCATTAATTTTTAGCGTGTATGAAAGAAAATAAATACACTTGATTGTAAGCAAGATTTATGTAACTAAAAATGAACCTATATTCTTTCACTATTTAATCTTAGTGCTGCATAGATTAGTAGAATACTGCAAGTATGATCTGGCACTTTTGGGTGCATAAGCCTGTGATTTTATTATAAATTATTTTTAGTACCTTACTTGGATGTAAATGTTTTGTCCAGGTAAACTGCACTGCACGCCTTCCATCACCGAGTGTTACACTCAGGTGGATTCCACCAGATCCAAGAAGAGAAGCATTCATACAAACTGCAAGATACGATAACACTTTGGTCATGACTATACCAGCTCTCAGCCGCTTGGATGCTGGTCACTATACATGTATGTTGTTCTCAGAAAATGGGAGTGAAGAGACAGCAGAGTTTAGGCTGCTTGTGAAGAGTAAAGGTCAGTTAATAAATTTTTTAATACATACATGTAATATAAAAAACTCATATATATATATATATATATATATATATATATATATATATATATATATATATATATATATATAAAAATATAAGCGGGCTGTGTCTGTCCTTCCTTCTGTCATCGCTATAGCTTTTGGAACCATAAAAGTAAACATCGCACCATGCAATGCTTTCCAGTGCATCGCACCGTCTTATTATAAGTAATAGATTGGGGTTTGTTTATATAACGACATAAGGATATTTTATAAATGCCACTGTTTTTACTCTTTTTGCATAACGTCAAGAGAATATTAAATACAAGTACACTGCTAAAACATATTAAAAAGATTAATGTCAAATATCATTTTCATATATATTCCCAAAAAAGTGGATACATTTTAATAACATAATAACAGTAGGGTAGAAAAATCAAATTAATTTAACCTTTTTTTTCTAATTTTGACAAGGGAGGTTTTAGTTATAAAACTATTGTAATTTTTAAAAATTTAAAGTACTGGCAAAAAAATGCGTGAATTGATAAAGTGATATATTATTTATTATTATTCTATCTTTCGGTTTGCCGTCTAGCTGGGGGTTTTAACAGGAGAGGCGTAGCGAGAGGGGGGGGGCATATGTTGAAATTGAAATTTTGAGAGGAGTGGGTCAAATCGAAAGTTTGTCCCCGGGCGCCGGAAAGGGTCGCTACGCCTCTGTTTTGTAGTCATTCACTGTGTCAGACGCGTCCGCTGGCGCTCGGAAAGGGCACGATTAGGAGATACGGGCTAGACTGTGAGTTATGTGCCTTTATGGTTGCATTTAAATTGTGTTTATGTTATGAGTGTTGTGTTTGTTTTTTCGTTTGTTTATTTTTTTGGCGTTCGTTTGTGTTGTGTTTAGTTTGTTCTGTTCCCAAGTTGGTACATTTAAAAAAGATTTACCGTGGCAGAGCACGGGATGCAGCTAGTATATATATATATATATATATATATATATAGAGAGAGAGAGAGAGAGAGAGACAGAGTAGATGAAAGGTCTGTAGATACATGGACTGCATACTAAATTACAATATGGATTGTTTTTATTTTGCATGACTTTGTTTTTCCACTTTATTTTTAAATATTGCTTGCTTTTGAGCATTATTTATTGTTTGCAAGTTGTCTTTTTGCATTTTAAAAAAATTGAATGTATCTTCCTCAGAAACAACTTCCCCTTGCAGCATTACCCAGTTTAAATGTAAGCGCTCGAAATTCTGCATTTTCATGCGATACAGATGTGATGGAAGAGATGATTGTGGGGATGGCTCAGACGAAGATTGTGGAGGTAGGTATCATTAACAAAGAATTTTGTTGTTAATTGTTATGGTTATCCTTATAATTAACATGTTGTTGGGGTCGGCGTGGTCGAGTCGGTAAAGCTCGTGGTTGCTAAACCGAAAAGTCACGAGTTCGAACCCTCGGGCAGATGAGGCTCGTTAGCTGGGGACAGCCACTCTTCTAGGAGAGACAACTCCAAAATTAAACAACTGCTGCCTTGTAGTTTGTTCTTGGTTGGACAAAGGCTATGGAAGCAAATCCAAAAAGAAAAGCAGGCTGAAATCGGAGTCAATGGCCTCAATGGCGCATAACCAATTGACACGTAACCAATTGACACGTAACGCTTAATTGTGTTGGATGCGTGGCCGAGTCGGCAAAAAGCTCATGGTTAATAAATTCGAACAAAGTCTCGAGTTCAAACCCACTGGCAGATAAATCTCGCTCCCCTTCAACACTAATAATTAAGAACGAAGAAGAAGAAGAAGAACATGTTGTTGGTAGAAAAGTCTGTGATTATGTTTTGTTCACACATTTAAATATTACATTACAATAGACTAATCTATGCTAAAATAAGTAAACATCAAGTAATGAATTGGGTATAATTATAAAAGAATTATTTTTACAATTATTTTTTTTTTACTTTTACATATTTATTCATGCACAAATTTATATTGTGAGAAGATAATTGGTTGTTAAGTAACTTGTTATCTTAATAGTTTTCATAATTACCTTCTTATTACTAATAAACTATTTTTTGTGTTATAGGTGATCCATGTATGGACAAATTTCGTTGCAACAATACTAGATGTGTTTCTTATGATGTGTTGTGTGACCACATTGATAATTGTGGAGATTTATCAGATGAAAGTGCAGTTTGTCTACGTAAGTGAAAATAATCAAGTATTCTGAATTAACTCTAATTTGCAATTTAAACAAACAGTTTTACTTTAGTTCTTTAGTAATTGGTGAACTGTAATAAAGTTTTAAATTACCTATTATCTCATTTAGAGAAATCAACTTCCACTGTGACTTCCCCACCTGTGACTGAAGACAGCCAGTTTGGTTGGATGAAAATTACTGTCTCGACAGTTATAGCAAGTACAGTTGGTGTAGTAATACTCATCTCATTCATTGTCATAATGGTTTTCCGCATAAAGATGAAACGTTTGCGTGAACTTAGGATAGCAAGGGCATTTGAACGTATTTATCAACATGGTGAGTTCTATTTAGGGCTACATTTTTCAAAAATTGTCAAAATATTAAATTATTTTATTGTAATTTTTAAACCGAACCTAACAAGATTTATGTATTTAAAAGTAATTTGGTTAAAAAATTTGTCCTCCAATTTCAGACATAAAAAATGTCAAAAAGTTTTTAAAATATAATAACTTTTTTTTTTAATGAATCTATTTAACCAGATGGGTCTAGAGAACCCACATCTCCAGGACATGGTGAGGAGGGCCCAAGTGACCAGCATCCATTCTTACCATCTACATCTCAACCCCACTATGGGAACATCATCGTTAACGTCAACAACGGAGTGCAGTACATGCCCGGTTATGATTACTCACTCTTTATGGATTCCCCGCCTCCATATACAGAAGGTAACACAGATGGAACGGAGCCCAAGCCCCCACCACCCCCGTACAGTACTCTGGATAGAAGAACCAGCCACAACCCTGAAGCTGTTGGTCCCACATGTAACACACACGTCTCACAGTCCTCAGTTCAGAACTACCTGGGTATTCGCAATGCAGATGGGATGGCTTCTGTCCGAAGGGGGAATTCAGCTGTTAACAATGACACATCCAATCCTGACAATGAAACATCAAACACATCACAAGAGAGGCCATCAGCACAGGCTGAAATAAACACTGGGACTTTACCTAACATCAACATCAATTCTAGATTCCTTCAGTCACTTCTAGGGTCACATCTTCAAGTCTCAGGTACTGGTACCAACTGCTCCAGGTTCATGCAAGAGGATGGGGCTGAAAGAAGTGTGAACCAAACAAGCCACAACCCTGTCACCTGTCAGATGAGCAGCATGCCGCGTCTAGGAAGTTCAGCGCCAAACATTGAACCAGTATCTTCTCATTCTTTACCATCTCATCATTGCACAAGGACCAACGTAAATAATTCACAGCTAATTGGCAATCTTGAAACTAATGTTGACAGCAGCCTTGCCAATCCTATAACCTCTGTAGATACTGCATCACATGAGGAATCTCTTCGGTTAACTGTTGTAAACATAAATGACCCGTCTAATGACAACCAATCAGCCTTGAACTCAGGTAACCCAACAACTGAAGTAAGCAACAGTTCTCTAACTTCATCAGCTGCTCGTGGACAAGATCTTATTTCTCCTGATGATGATTATGATGACCCCTGGGACAGCTCCCTTCCACTGTTAGCTACTGCTTCGGCTATTATGCCACCATTTTCTGAAGTCAACATTGATGGAGGTGCTTTTATGTCAGAAGATTGTTTTCAGGATGGGGTCTCCCCAAATGAAGATGGGACATTCTTAGTAAGAAAGCATAAAGATAGGTGGGGGCCTAAAGTGGACTTGAATAAAGATATCAATGACACCTCTGACAGTTTGCCTGTGTCATGTGCGAATATAAATAATTCAGATGCTAGCACCACAGCAGTGTCCCATACAAACACAAATAATTCTGATGCAGGCAGTTTGCCTGTGCCTTCTGCTAATATAAATAATTCAGATGCTGTTAGTTTGCCTGTCCCCTGTGCTAATAGAAATAGTTCAGATGCCAGCAATGCTCTGTTTGTTGAGATCTCAAAACGTGATGAGGAGAGGAAGCCCAAACCTGGCCACCTGTCAGTGGAGAGGGGACAAATTCTGTTGCACACAGACCATGGTGTGTTAGCCAGTGATTTCTCCCCATCCATTTCCCTCAACTCAAGTCTCAGCAACACCCCAACCAAGTCTTCCAACCTGCCGCAACCATCAAGGCTCAGTGGAGAGCTGGTTGTCAAAGATGGGGCTATCATGTTACAAATGCCCTCCGCAAGCCGAGGTCAGGGGCATTCACTCTACAACCCTGACAGAACCAGCAGCCATGGCAGTAAACTGTCTCTCAGCTCTGTTCATTCTGATTCATCTGCTTCACATTTGAAGTCAAGTGATCCTCCTAACACCGCTCCAATGTCTTCCACTAATCCATCTTCACCTTTGTTAGCCCACACTTTGAACAATGAGGCTTCAGTGGACTCTGGCTCCTGCCACGGTGGAGACAGCAAGAGCCAGGAAAGACTAAGTGGTGAGCTCAGCATCAAGGACGGTTGTCTTGTTTTGGAAGCTCCAAAGCACACACCATCCTCTCAGATTCTTTCTCATCTACAAGGGGTATATGCTGCAGAACAGAGGCCTGACAAGGGCGGGGATGAAGACATGCTTGAGCCAGTTGTCAATACCAAACGCCCTGCAGGCACTGTTGTCAGTCGCCCACCATTGCCAAAATTTAACTCTGATATTGTCCTTCCATTTAAAAACCAACATCTGTAAACCTCCTTTTTTTAAATCTAAAATTTTAGCTTTTTGTATGTATATTATTTGGATATTTTTAGTTTTTTAAACTATAAATATTTGCCCTAAAATCTCAGTTTTTATGTTTTTAGAAATCTTATTTATCATAAAAAATTATAGTTGACTAAAGTAATTATTGTTAGTGGTTGTAAATTTGTTGATAATGGTATTGAGACTACTATTGATAGAATTTTATGCAACATGAAGTGGGGGGCAGTTGATATGTGTGTAGTTCAGTTTTTAAAAACAGCTGTGTGGATTTTTTAAAATCTTTACTATGGATAAAATTAAAACTCAAAAAGTTTTTACTAATTGTGAAATAAAAGGTTTTAGGCCTTTAATGGGTTTTCCCTAGATCTTTCATTAAAGATTACAATAAGGATTCTCTTGACTGCCAATAAGATCAATTATAATATAAGGCGTAGTTTCTTTTTAAAATAACACTATTTTTATATTGTATTTTATAGTGTGTTTTTTTTTTATGAAGACTCTAATTCAATTAAATAGTTTTTTATGCCATTTAAATGTTGTTCCTGTTATAACTTTGTTGATAAACATGTGAAAAAAAGTTGTAGGTTCCTATACCTTGTTATACTAAATTGCTTTTTACCGACATTTTGTTATAGTGTCTGAATATCTTGTTTTGTATAAATTTTATCCAGGTTGTATCTGACTTGAATGCTTTTACATTATGTTTAGATCTACTTGTTATTTTTAAAACTAGTTTTTAAAAATATCTTTATAAAAAGATCAATATGTACTACTGATATACAATTTTGTTTTTGTTTGAACTTAAACTGTGTCTGTAGACTAACAATCAATGTAATAAGTCAATATCTAATATAAATTGTCTTTTATACCTGTATATACTTGGATTACCTAGTTATATTATTATAATATTAGCTGCTACCATCTTGTCCTAAGATTTGTGTCAAGGTCTTAATTCATAACTATCATTTTTAGTCAATGATTTTTTAAATTTAAGTATGAAAATTTCACGATGCAGAGATATTGTAAGTTTAAGGATTGATAATACATCAACATCTCTTGATGGCTTCTTAATTAATAGACCTGATGGTCTATGGGACAAGTAAAAATTCATGTTCTTTTTTATCTCTGCATATGAAGGGATAGTGTGTTCAGAATTATGCCCAGCCGTCTTTACTTTCCCTAGCATGAGTCAGGTAGACTCAGTGACGTTCTATGGACTTGAACCTAGATTTGACCATGCCATCCCATTTCTGTCCATAATATAGAATATAAAAGAAATGTTCCAGCCTCTATCAGCGGTATGCTCTAGACATGTTGTGACCACATCAATAGAACTCTGCTTCAACTTGATCTGCAGCTTTTAGTCTAAGGCTTTGACAATGATGACTAAAATATAAAAGTACCTGATAATGTTTCAGCAAACTAACTTTGCTGTCATCAGTTGTGTTGAATCCATCTTGTTGATCTTTTTAAATTCTACATGAATTCTTGTTGATTAGGTGTGCATCAATGATTGTATACATCAATGATTGTTGTTGTATTTTTTTATGAATCTCATGAAACTGTTTTCTGTTGTTTATCATAACTATTCAAATTCAACTTGTGTTGTAAACATTTACAGTGAAAATGTTAAGTCAATTAATTTTTTTTTTAGTCATTTTGAGTTGTTTATTTAAAAATACTCTTGATAATCCTTCCTAGATTCTTCTTTTTTTCTTTTCACATTGTTACAGATAATACTATGCTTCTTTTTAATAAATTTTATTTTTCATCTAAGACGGGAGAACCATACTATTGTTCACATAGTTAAATTTCAAGTCTTAACAAATGTGTGCATTTAATCAATAGATCTGTATGGCCCTAGTACTTTTACTCATCAATTTTTGTTTAACTGACAGTAATTGTCTATACTGATTCATATTAATTTTTATTTTTGCTAGTTGGGGTTTTGTAAATATTGTATAAAACAAACCTACTCCACACCACTATTTTTTGCCTCTCATTTTTGTGTTAGTCAGGAGTCCTGGGGGTGACTTGTGCAAAACTAAACTATGTGAATAGATGTTCATTTCTGAAATAATATATATTGTATATGTAAGTTTTTTAAAACTAATGAAACCAATTTGTTGTAGGTTGTGTATATTTTACAAATCTTTTTATTTGTGAACTGGGTGATCTGATGACTGTTTATAACTGTTATGAATTAATGAACAAATTGTTTTACATACTGCATATTCATATTTAACAATTACTTCATCTTTAGCCGTTTTTCATTTTAACTATCATTTCTCTCCAACTATTATTTTATAATTAAACAAATTATTGCTTCAGGTTAAATAAGATCTCTGCTAACTATATCTGTAATTTTATTTTTTTAATTTTTGCGTCATTAGATTTAGTTCTTCTGTAGTCTTTTGATCTAATCTTCCTACCTCATCATGTGTTTTATTTATTTTCATGTTTACCCTGTCCTGCTCTAGTATATTCAAATCTGTAGGGTCACAACTTCACTCTGAATGTTTGTTAACAGAAACAGAAGCTCTACTGATGACTTTATGCTGTGTACATATTGTTTTTTTTTACAAATTAATTTAATAAGTATATCTGTACAGCTTGTCACTTGCGTGAGTGTGATTTTCATGCCATTATTTAATCAAAACTCTGAGGGTTTAATTCTTCCAGTGGTACCATCTGTTGTGTTGTTTGTTTGTTAAATACTAGGTCATGAAGGTTGTGTGCTGTCTCTGTCAGTTTAAGTTAGTCTATCATAATGTTGTGGTGTAAGTTAATAAGTCGTCAATGGGATTGTGGTGTCAGTGTAAGTTAGTAGGTCATCAAAGGGATTGTGATGTTAGTGTAAGTTAGGTAATCAAATGGTTTTTTTTTTGGTGTCTGTGGAAGTTAGTAGGTCATCAAAGGGATTGTGGTGTCAGTGTGTGTAAGTTAATAGGTCGTCAATGGGATTGTGGTGTCAGTGTGTGTAAGTTAATAGGTCGTCAATGGGATTGTGGTGTCAGTGTGTGTAAGTTAGTAGGTCATCAAAGGGATTGTGGTGTCAGTGTGTGTAAGTTAGTAGGTCATCAAAGGGATTGTGGTGTCAGTGTGTGTAAGTTAGTAGTTCATCAAAGAGATTGTGTTGTTAGTGTAAGTAAGGTAATCAAATAGTTTTTTTTGGTGTCTGTGGAAGTTAGTAGGTCATCAAAGGAATTGTGGTGTCATTGTAAGTTAGTAGGTCATAAAGGAATTGTGGTGTCAGTGTAAGTTAGTAGGTCATCAAAGGGATTGTGATGTTAGTGTAAGTTAGGTAATCAAATAGTTTTTTTTGGTGTCTGTGGAAGTTAGTAGGTCATCAAAGGGATTGTGGTGTCAGTGTAAGTTAGTAGGTCATCAAAGGGATTGTGGTGTCAATGGAAGTTAGAAGATCATTTAATAAATTGTGATGGCACCCCATGAGTGAATGCTTAACTTTCAACTTTTTAAATATAATCTCATCTAAACATTGTTGTTAGGTAGTTTTAATTTTAACATGAGATTACTGGTATGATGTTTGAAATTAAAATGAAACAGAATTTGAGAATGTCAATTTTCTGCTGCTGTTTCAAGTTGAGACACTATAATCAGGTCAACTCAAGTTCTTATTTAAATGTGTAGAGTGTACATAACAATAGACTGTGGTTAAATGGGTATTAACAGTAGCTGACTTACTGCTATAAGCAGTAGTTGACTTCTGATGTTTTCAACTGTTTTGTAAAACCTACCAGCAAAAAAATAAATCATTTTTATTCTAATCTTTATATTCTTATGTTTTTATTTTATTTTACTTGTTGTAGTTATCTTTATATGTTGTTTGTGTAAAAAAAAAATACAGGCCATTTCAGCTATTTCAAGGCACTACCCATAATATAAAGATTCAAAGTGTGAGCATTTGTCACCTCTGATTATAAGTGTGAATTAGTATTTTTAGAAACGAGAAAATGGAAGTATTTGTGATGCTGGGTTTGGTGTAGGAGAACTGTTTGGCTCACTAATCTTAATGGGAGTGCATCCTTTGGCCCCACTTGAAAGTTTAAAGATATTTAAATACAGTGAATCTCAGCATTATGAGAGCATCACCATTGGGTATCACGTGATACTTGTCTCGTTCTTCCATCTGTCTTTACTACTTACACACTATCACATGACTTGGTTGTTGTTGTTTTTTTTTTTTTTTTTTGCAATGCGAATAAGGGCAGTTGTGAACTATAGACTCCTGAGACCAGCCTCCACTGTAAAAGAAAACTAAGTGTAGTAAGATTTTTTGTTCACCCAATATCTTTTGTTGCCTCCCCATATAGCGCCACCACAGTACAAACAGGGCAGTCCTATGTTATACGTGTTTTGTTGTTTGTTTGTTTTTTTTTTTTTTTTTACAGTAAGGCAGGGGAAATCCCCTGTGGACCTAAAATAATAGTGCTGTATTTGAGCTATAACTAAATAGAATAGATCTAGTATTGATATTTTTTAAAATTTATTTGCGCAATTTTCTATTTCTCCCTAGTCAATGTGTGGTGGATGATCATCTGGTAGGCGTTGAAAATCAGCTGAAATTATATTAATTATATTGCACAGGCAATCCCCCCGTCCCCCCCCCCCCCCCCCCTCGGTTAAAATCTCGTTTTTTTGTAAAACCCCGATAAGAATGTGGCAAGCTATTGTAATACACGCAAGTGCAACCCCGAGGAGTACATCTATTAGCCGATAAATTTTATTTACTAATTTACAGTTTTAAAAGCTTGAACCAGAACAAGTTTCAGAACAACCCATAATGCGAGTGTCGTTATTCATTGAGAATCACCGTAGTCCGGGTCCAGTTCACTCTCTTATCACACTTCTCGACCTACTAACTTCATTAACTCATTAACCCAAAAAGTAAAGTGATTACCCACTTAGTTTCGCTTCAATGCTAGTTTTTTTAGAGATTTTAAAATCCGAGCTAATGCCTCAATTTTAAAATATATAATGTGGTGAATAGGTTTTTAAATTTATTAAAATTATTAAAAGGGAAATCAATCAGTTTAATAAAGGGGGGGGGGGGGGAAATCTGGTTCAATCTCATCGCATCGAGCAACAGTGATCGTACAATCAGAAATAGCTGTGTCAGAGGTCACATCCGGAAGGGCAGCTAATTGAGGGGGTGACGTGAAATGTGAAAACAAATTCTGACTACTTTTCTATTTTTACAAAAAAGTTCATTTTCTCACATAGTTAAGAAGTTTTAAATTAACATCACTCGCCAGCAATTTTTTTCACACCATGGCGGCATCCGCTGGTGCCTCCGTTATTCCTAGGAAGGATGGATTTTATGATAAATACATACGCAATTACCAAATTCTTACACAAACACAGCTGAAAAAATTAATGGAGCACAAATACAGCGCCGAAGGAACGTCAATTATTGAGCCTCCAATGCAGATATTTTGGAAGTGGGTAGTGGAACAGCTTCCCCTCTGGTGGGCTCCTAATGCAATTACAATTGTTGGCTTAATTGTCAATGTTATGACAACACTTATTCTAGCATTTTACAGCCCTGACTGCAAGCAAGAGGTGATTATCTTTTTTTTTAATTTTTTGTTTTTGTTTTGACAACAACAAAGATATCTAGATCTAGATCTAATTGTTTAAATAAATTTTCTAGAGATTCTACTAAAAAAATTAAATGGGCCCATAAATTAAGCCTGAATACTGTGAATAGGGCCTACTAAATTAGGGCGACCTAGGCCGCTTGATTATGATTATTATAAATTAGGCCTTGCATGGCCTAATAAATCAAAATGATGTCTGCCTAACTACTTATTACTTTTCATAATTATTTGCTAACTGCCAGTAATCTAATAGGGACGGTGCAGCCTAGCTATACAGCACTAGACTGCTATACTGCTAACCCGATTGTCCTAAGTACAAATCCATGTTCAATTCAGCAAAATGTTCCTTAGTCCATTAAGCTCTGATAGGTACCTAACGTACGTTAGGGAAAATAAAGGCTGCTGGGAAAAGTGCTGACCACCCTATCTCTTCATATGATGAGGGCACAGAAACAGATGAACTCTACTTTATCTGCCCCATGTAACATGTGTCTTGGGCACGAATGGGAAAAGATGATGATGATGAGTAATCTAATAGCTAATGCAGTTTTTTGAAAAAAGATACCTTCATTGTTGCATTATTGGATTCTAGTATAACACCTACCATAAAATAGATAGGCATTAAGTTCTATAATCACCAGCCTAGTTTTGTATGCCTACATGAAAGATTAATTGATGGTTGCTGGATCTTTTTTTACATATTAGTCTTTGTCAATGAGGCTGGGAAAAGAAAGGAGGGAGTAACACTAGAATGAAAGAAAATACTGCTAGTCTTGCAAATCTTTTTTATTATTTTCAGTTGCATAGCCAGGGGCGTGTTATAAATCATTTAAATTTTTTGCTATAATTTCATAATTACAGTAGTACAGATTGTTAGCATTACATTACATTAAACTTAAAAATTCATTCTTTACTAACCAAAACAAAATTTTCTTGTCAGAAATCCTAATATCATTGAGTGCAGGTTGAGACGGTGCAAACAAGAATTGAAACTGTTAAAATAAGGAAAACAAAAATCGCAGTTAATTTTTCAAACTAATGTTAAGGTTGATAAGGATAATTGTTCGCCAAATATTTTTTATTATAATAATTTTTGTATTCCCGAACATGACTAAGACGACACATAACATTTGGCAGTAAAGGTGATTTATGAATATATATTTCAGCTTGTTTTATTTTTCTTCAGATTTAAATTGCCTAGTTGTAGTCTTATTTTCTTGTGAGTTTTTTGTATAGTTTCTCCTAGTCTTTGTTTCTTTGGGAGTTTCTAATCCTCTTTGTTTTCAATTATCAATAGTTCTCAGATGTTTTTATTGTGAACATACCTCAATACCTTTTGATGTAAAGTTTCTATAGTATATTATTTGTTCATAGAAGTTGTTAAAGAATTGTTAAAAAGCTTAAATCTACTTTAAAGTTTACTTGCTAAATATTTGTACTTAAATCTACTTTCTGTGTTACTTCTCCCAAATCACTACAGTGCTGATAACATTGTTTACTTTAGGCTTGTGTTGCCTAAGGAAAGCAAATAAACTGCTATAGTTAAGCTGCACATCTCAGATGGAAATCAATGTTACACAGCTGTTACTTGTTGTTCTAGGTTAAAGGTTATCTGTGTTATAAAACCTTAATTTGCATACAATTCAATTTTTTTTTTAAATGAGCTAGATCTAGATCTATTATATCAATCCTTAGACACAGTTAATTTATATTACTTTGCAGTTTATAAGCTTCCATCAAATTAGTAATAGTGACAAGATGTCTTAAAATAAATAGAAAATTTAAACTTACACTGTTTCTTTAGTACACTTCTTTCCCATTTTTAGCTATTTGTTTCCTTAAAAATGAGTCTCAATCCAAAAAAAATTGTTATCTCTGGTTTCCCCTCTTTATGTTAAGCTGAAAGTGTGAGAACCACTGATGAACTCTTTGGTTACTTACTTTACTTTTAAACATTTTGTATTTAAAAAACAGACTAAATTAAACTATCTTGAATTTGAATATATCAAGAACTTTTAAATGTAAATTTGGCAAGTAGAACTCTCTATTTAGATTTTTTTTTAAATATGTAGGCCTATGATGATATATATGGCAAAATCAAGAGATTCACTTCTCTACTTCATTATGTTAATTGTGATGGTGTATTTTTTTTTAATAAAATTATTGTTTTTCATGAAGAATAAAAGAAGTATTTAGATGTTATTCAAATAAAGACCTTTGTGCTTTATAACTTTAATAATGCATTTTTTCAGGCACCTAGATGGGCTTATTTTCTCAGCTGTCTTGGACTGTTTGTATACCAAACTCTTGATGCCATAGATGGGAAACAAGCTCGAAGAACCCAGTCTAGTTCTCCCCTAGGAGAGTTGTTTGATCATGGCTGTGATTCCATATCTACTGGTATGCTTGCTTTATGCATTACTACATTAATGTGGCTTAGTTGTTGTTACGAATACAACAATACTTTTAAAAAAATAATCCATTTCAACCATAAATCTTCTCAAAATGAGTTGTGGTACATGTATATCTAACCTTATATGCTAATTTCAGGTACTGTCATATTGGGTGCTAGTATAACAATGCAGTTGGGGTACACACCTGGATGGTTGTTGTTTGAAAATCTGGCAGCTTATGTTTTATTTTACTGTGCACATTGGCAGACCTATGTGTGTGGCACATTGAAATTTGGAAAGTGGGTATTGCTTCTTTTCTTTAGTCTACAATAACATGACATAATTTAATTAGATCACAAAATGAAATTTTTAAAAGTTTTAAAGTTCTAAAGAACTGGCCCTGAAGAGTGTGTCTGATATCAAACATTTTCTCTTACTATAACAAAATAATTATTGTATCTGTTTCCTTTGTAATAAAATATTTTCCTAGTTACTATTTACACTTGTTCCCATAGTCACATTTTATAAATCATTTCATCAATGTCATCAAGTCTCAATCAGGATAGTTGTGTAATAAATGTTGCCAATTTTTCAGAATTGATGTCACTGAAGGACAGTTGATGGTTATGCTTGTTTATTTTTTGGCAGGAGTTTTTGGTCCACAATTCTGGTCATATGAGGTCAGTATTAAGTGCTGTTGATTAGTAAGTAAGCTTAAGTACTTGCTCACTCATATTTTGTTCATAGATAGTTTTAAACCTTTGATTCTACAAGTGAGAATTGGTTTTTATTTTTAACTATAAACTTTTTGCCACATGGTGTTTGCAGTTGAAATTAAAAGGCTTAGAACTTTTGAAGGCTGAACATGAATTTGTTTTCTTTCTCAACAGCTACCTCTCGTTCATATAGAGTTGAAAATGCTGCCAATTTACTTCAGTCTACTGGGGGCAGCACTTCAAATGACATCAGCATTTAAAGTTATACTTTTACAAGGGGGTGTTGGAAAAAATGGTTCAACTGTTGCGGTATGTTTAATTCTTTCTTGGAAAAAATTCCTTACAACTGTCTACGTATTTAATAAATAATTTAGTTTTTTTTGTGCAAAATACATTAGGCTTAACAAAGAAATTAAAATTTATGTAGACCAGTAACTTAAAACTTCGCCCTTTACTGCCCATATGCACAGGACATTTTCTTTTTTGAAGCAGCCATACTGTGTATAGGAATTTAATTTCCACACAATAAAGGTATTTTGCAGATAGCGCTAGAAGCGAGGGTTTTTTTTTATTGTTCTATCTCGAGCTTTTTTTTTTTAATTTATGGATTTTTTATCTTTTTTTTTGTTAAATATACCAGCGTATTTCAAAAATATATTTTTTTAATTGTTGAAAATTAGGTTGCCATTTCACTCCAGAAAATGCTTTGAATGCCTGGGCAGTAAAGGATTAAACTTTATTTCAATATTTTTACTTACATACAAGGTGCAGATAATAGAATTTATTTAAATTAAGTCTTCTGATACCATCAGGTTTAATGCTTTAAACATTTCTTAAACTGTTATATTTTAATTTTAAACATGTTTCCAAGGTAAAATTAACAAAGAGTAAAGTTGATTAATGTGTTCTTATACTTTGTTTACAGGGTACCAGCACCATTTTTCCTGTTGTTCCCATAACTGTTGTAGTCTTGTTAGCTTTTATGATCCAACAGAAATCACCTTCTATGTTGTTTGAAAATAACCCTTGCCTCTTTCTGCTAGCATTTGGATTTCTAGCAGCTAAAATTACTAATAGACTTGTGGTTAGTATATTTTTATTTGTTTTAAATATTTGATATACCAATTTATTTACAGCAAATCAATTTTAAGATTAAACCTTTGAGGGTTTATTGGGATGCAGTAGTTGAAAATAAGATGATATATTTTTTAAAATTCTGGTAAAATAATTTTTTTAAATATTAAATACAAGGTCATTAGACCACTTTTTAAATAACATTAAAACTACACTCTACAGTTATATTTTTTACAGCTACTGTATTGTAGCAAAGTTTCATTATAAATAAAGAGAATCATTGTGTGCATGTTTTTTTTCTTCTCAAGATTTTATCTTATTTCTTTCTCTTTGTTTATCTATAGGTAGCTCACATGACTAAAAGTGAAATGGATTTTTGGGACACTGGTCTACTAGGACCAGGAGCACTTTTCCTAAATCAATATTTCAACTGTTGGTTGAATGAATATTATGTTTTATGGCTCTGCCTGGTAAGTTTTATTTGGCTGCCACATTTCATCAGCTAAATTATTACATAATGGTCACCATATTGAAAGTCTGAATTTTCTCATCCAGATCAGTATTGTATGCTCTAAAATATTTCAATACTTATGTTAACACTATATTTGAAATACTAATTAAATATAAAAGCAGTATGTTTTCAATACCACACCATCTAAAAATAATGTATTTCAAATATTTTTTCTTCTCTTCAGCTGTGGGTTACATTTGATATATTGAGATACTCAGCCAGTGTATGTCAAGAAATCTGTGAATATCTTCAGATCTACTGTTTCACCATAACATCTAAGCCTCCTTCAAATAAAAAAAATGATACAAAAAATGGTGTCTTTAGTTAAAAGTTTTTGAACAAGTTGGACCACGTAATTCATGTATTATTCAATAAAACTTAATTTATCTGTATATTTATGTAGCTAATTTCCTCATATATGTATTTTAAGTTGTGGCGTGGTACATATGTAGATTAGTCCCTCTGTTGAGCAATCAGATGTTAAAAGTGAAACATCATTCCACTTTGTTCATTTAAAAATTCTTTAAATACGACACTGTGTACATCTTTATTTTTAAGAATAGGCCAATGTGTGTTGTAAAAGCAATTAGGTATATATATATATATATTACTTTTTTATTGACCTGTTTATATATTTGTTAAAATTTATTTAATTTCAAAGCACAAGAATTATTTTTAAGGGAGCTAGAAAATAGTTGGTTTTCAAAATTAAAGCTTTAACTATACATTTCATTTTTGTTATCAAATAGAATAAATAATGAAATTTAGAACAAAAGGAAGTGTAACTTTACGAAGAAATTAATAAACAACAAACTTACAATTGGATAATCGTATTGTATTTATTTTATTTTTTAAAATTTTAAATTCAGGAACACTTCAATTTATTTTTGCTTTTGTTGTTAATTTTAAAATTAAACTGCCTTCAAGTGGACATTACTTTTGCTAAATGACTAAAAATTAACATTTTTCTTGCTTTTATATCTAGAACAATAGGCATTTAGTCAATCTGAAGTTTAAAAGCTTTTGTAACACTAGTCTTAGGGATCTCTAGTTGTTTTCTAGATGGTTTTCTGTGAAGTGACTCAGGATTTTAATTAGTATCTCAATAATGTATAATTAAGCAATTTAAAATACATTAATTTAATGTAATCATGACATTTCTTTATAAATAATCAAATGGAATAAAAAATCCAAATTTATTTTTAAAAACTGGTGTTTTATAGCAATGCAAGATTAGAATACTTTTATGTTATGAAAAAATATACCTTCTTATTTACTCATTTTCTTTTTAATACCATTTTAGTTTCATTTATTTCCTTTTTCAGGATTAATTATCAAACTAAGATGTTAAATAATTAGTATTCTCTCACAAAAATCAATAAATGATAGTTCTCTTGTTTTTAAGCTTTTGGTATTATTGAAGTCTTTAATATATAATCTTTTTCTTGTTAACTCTGCTAACATGTACGACAATAATTTCAAAGAAAGCCTTCAGATCTTAAATTTTATAATTCAGCACTTTGCTTGTAGATCTACAAGTTTAAAAAAATTACAGACCTACAGCCTTTATTTTTAACAGCTCTCCCAGAAATGAAAAAAATTGAGCCTTGTTTTTGTCATGTATGTTTTACCAGAAATGTAACAAATTATTTTAGAGAAATTGCGCTTAAAATTGAGGATTAAACAGCAACTTCAACTGACAGTGGGTTATGTTTTACATAACTACTATGTTCTTTTATAAAGGTCTTAAATATTTTTTTATTCATAGAATGGCGTAAGTAGTTTTCTGATGAGGAACAGTAAAATGAATAGTTTTGGATTTAAAAAAGGCTCTTGGTTAGCATTCAGTGAAAAAATGTGTTATAAATGGATGAACTAGATTAATTAAATTTAGTAATATCTACTTATCTTTACCATTTTTTTTTGCTAAAATATTTAAACTTTTGTATTTGTCTATATCTATTCAATTACTGGGTTTATAGCTTTTTAATCAGAAATCTTCTGATTCTAATAAAATACAGGTTCATATATGAATTCATTATCAAACAAAATATGAATCTCTGAACTCTTAAGGAATTTGCAATAACATTTTTTATAGGTTTGTAACTTTTGTTAGTAAATTGTTAAATGTAAACTTTCTGTTAACTTGTCAGTATTTTGTAAAAGTCCTCTCTGCTGAAGACATTTTATACATTTACAAATCATGAAGCATTAATTTATTACATTGAGTCATTTTCAGACAGTTGCCAATTGAAGTCAAATACATCAACTCCTTTGTTCCACCTCCAACATCCCCTAATTCTTTCTGTCTCTGTATATTTATTTGCCTTACCTTATACAAGTTGAACCTTTATTAACATAACTGCATGTCATTCTAACATTGACCTCAAACATTCTAGTTATAAAACTACAATGTGAATTTCCCATTGGATTGTTTTCGTTACATCAATTTGCATTCACTTCATTCAGTGTTTTTAGAGCTTATCCCAAGAAAATGCAGTATGGTATAGGCAGCTTCCATAAATAATGCCCAGAGTTAATCCTTCCTATAGTTTGGTGGTGGGTAAATCTATTTATGTATATAGAGTGATATGCTTTGTAAACCCCCATACACAGATGGCATTTACCCCTAGCATTTAAGGAAGCTGCACTAGTATAGTTTTTGTATAACAATATTTGAAGACAAAGTTATAAAGATTCTAAACATTTCAAGGTTTAAGACTTGCTCTAGTATAATAGGCAAACACATTGTAATATGGATTACTGTTTTTCTTAATTTCATATACTTCATCAGTGTGTCATAAATAAACATGGTCTTATTTCCTATTGGTTTTTGTTGTTATTCATGAATAATTATTAAAAGTACAATATAGGCCTACACAGCAAAAAAAAAAAAGATTTTCAAGTTATTTTATTCAAGACAACTTTTTTAACAAAACTGGTTTGAACCTAGACAAAGCTAAAATATTCAGCTTGGCTAACTATCTGACAGACTTGTCTGTTCTGTATCACAGTTTTAAGTTTTTGCATATGACTAAAATAATGAAAACAAGTACAGCATTACCTGGTAATGTAACAGGTGTTTTTAAAGATTTAAGTTAAATTCATTAAGAAGACTAGAAAATGTGCTCTTTGTTATCAAAGAAAACTTTGAAAATTTTAAATAAAGAAACTAATTTTTTTAGATGAACAAAATAAAACGTACAACTTATGTCTGTTTTAACTTATAATAAACCTAAATTCATCTTATGTGGCATGAATAAATTAATTAGCTTTATTTATCAGTCTCCATTTATCTCTTAAATCAGATGAAGAACGACCTGGAAGAAATTTACCCTCTGCTAATATGGCTTTCCAGTTGTACCCAAATGTTTTGACACCTCTCTTTAAGCGTCTGATTTCACACATTGAGAATGGTTTCTGTGACCTTCTGTGTTTGGATTTAATTTCTTCACTTGTCTTCTGAAACAGTCAATGTATTTTATTTCTTAAGCTGTGAACAGAATATATATGAATGACAAAAAAAAAACATTTATCAGCCCATCAATTATTTAATATCTACAATCTAAGCACACTGAGTTATTTTCTTTTGATATTCTACCAAATTTATTATATCTGGGCTTTTTGAAAACTTGCTTTATTACTTCATTGCTCTTATGTAAAATAAATATACCATATCTTCAGGTACTTCATCAGTAGACAAGTAAAAACTAGACTCACCATTAACCTCTTATATTTATCTTTCAAATCAACTGCAGTGCGAGTAGGATGAAACTCATAGGTACATAAAATCTGATGCCAGCAGGTTCCCATTTTAGATACCCCTTCTATTAGATTCTGAATTTCTTTTTCTGAGTAAGCTATTCTGGGTCTGCGATGCTGAAGGGTAATTAAAAACAAAATTAAAATTTTGAACAAGGGAAAATTACATGATTACTCGATTGCAGTTAAAAGTTAATGTGTTTCTAAGGCCATGATATTTGTGATAGTTTAATGACCAGATGTTAGACCCTCGTCATTTACCAGTTATGCTAGATCATAACTCTAATCAAAATAAATATATTTTTTTTTGTTTTTTTTTAAATTTACGAAAGAAAAAACACTTTTATTAATATTTGAGTTATATCATAAAATGTAACCTCTATTAAGTGTTCCCTCTTTTTAAGTGCATTTCTAACTGAAGTGAGTGACACATCAGGACAAACAGACACATCTGACTGCAATTTAAAAAAAGTAAATTCAAATATTTTTTAAGCAGGTTACAAGAAAAATAATGTATCATTTCACTATTAATTAAATGCCTTACCTTTTCACTCTCTGATGTAAAATGGTATACATCTTCTCTACATGGGCGTACACTTTTTTCTTTGTATGGGGCTTTTTCAAAATAAATGTATTTTATCATGTTGCACATAAATATAAATCAAAAGATATAAAAACTTGTATCTGATAACAAATTAGAATGATAAATGTGAAATAAAATAAGGTTTTACAATGATGTTTAAGGAAATTTTTTTTTTAAGGTTCTGAAAATTCTTTTTCAAAGTTTGGAAACAACAATAAACTATATTTCCAGGAGTTACAATTTAAAAAGCAAGATAAATTCATTTTATACTATGAGGAAGTTTGAACAGCAACTGTAATAAAGGTTTGAATTTTTAAAAATGAGTCATTGTTATGGCTTAGATGGTTATCTTAATTTTAATATGAAAGAGATTGTTGAATTACCTTCAGGCTTCTTGTTTTGAACAATTTTTTTAATAAATTCTCGTTCCTGTTGTCTGAGAGATCGGTGGTAACTACAAGTATAGGCACTTGTTTCTATAGCAATGTTGAGTGTCCTACTATTTAAATCTGAACCAGACTTGCATCCTGGATGAAAAAAAAGAAGGGACATCTTAGGAAACTATAATAAAGTGGGCTTGTATCAATTAAATTGAGTAATCTGGAGTAAATATAATTAAGAAATTAAAAAATAATTAAGTTACACTCAAGACTTGGTAATCATTATGAATAAATGCTAGTATGTTTGGGTTTTAATAGCTACCACTACAAAGGCCTTGTTACTAGCCTATTCTAACCCTGAACACTTAAATAACTTCGTAAGCTGAATAGATGCCTAAAGTCAAAAGAATGATAAAAAAAACTAATGATACCAGGACATAAGGAGTTTACTGAGTGAACATCATTCAATGACTTTTTTCTACCTGCAAAGTAAGATTTGTGTTAACAAGATCAAATCAATATATAAATAAACCCTATATTATAATAAATTTGGTTTTGTGCTTTGTAGACCAAGAAGAAAAATCAGTATCTCTAAAAATACTTTTTAGTTAGGTATAGAAATTGGTAGATCTATTTTGTTAATTTAATTGTTAATTAGAATACCTTAAGTAAAATTTAAGGTCAAATTATGAAAACTAACTTTAATTATGTATAATTAATAATATTATATTATAATTTAATTATATAATTAAGAGAGCAGTCTGTAGTTTCTAACACTGAGTGTTATAATGTTAAGAAAGATCTGTAATTTTTAATCTAGATTGGATTGATATAGGGTGGTTAAGAACAAAACAAAGGACATTTCTGTTTTCAGCGCTAGAAATCATGCTGGCTTTGTGAGTGGTATTTCATATTTCCGCTGGTGAATACACAACAAAAGACAAGATGAAAGATTGGTCAGCAGGCTAAACATACATGATGCCTCTATAATGTTTTAGATTTACCCCACACGTCATTCCCATAGAAGAAAAACATTTAGGATTAGGGAAAACTACAGTCAAACCTGTTTGTATCATGTTGGTATAATTGTCTTTTAGAAGAATGCCAAGCAGACAGTTATTTTTAAAGAGCAAGGCACAGGGTAGGCATAGGCATAAGCTAATTTCAGTGATTTCCCAAAAAAGTGGAAATTATTTTTTTTAAAGTAAGATTATTTAACTTGTGCCCAAAAATGTGGTATTTTTTATGTTGATCTGCATTATATTATTTCTCTCACCTTTGCTTTGTGATACTTGACAAAGTGGGGTGGAAAGCTTTAAGTTATGAATTTCAGAATCCTTAAACCTTGGTGTTTTCGGCTCTGTCCTAATCCCATGTAAAGATAAAGAAGGTATAACTTGTGCAGGGCTTGAGTTATTGGAGTAATGTGAACCACGATGTTTGTCATGTGAACTATGACCTTTAAGGCCAAGTGTACTCATATTATCAGTGTGATCAGACATCAAGGAACTAATGCCACTAGTTTCAGAACAATCAATCAAACTTCTGTTTGAATGTTGCTTCCGTTTCTTATTAGCCAGCATTTTTAAGGCCTGGTCAAACTCTGACAGAGCAGGGGATGGTGGGATCTGTAAACCAGGGCAGGTTGTAGAAGTTGGATGAACTGGTTGAGGACAGGTTGATGTTCTCCGCTGGGTTTGTGCATAGCGAATGTTCATTGTACGCTTTTTGGAGGAGCTTGGTGTTTGTAGCATAGGTGTTTGAGCTGGCTTGAGAAAAAGGTTATCATCATGTCTAGGGTTCCCAGTTTTAGGGCCTATGGTTATATCCTGTGAGTCTCTTGCAGTAATATTACATGGCTTTGGTGGGCTGGTAATTTTAGATGAACTGAATTCTTTACTCAATGTTGTGTCATTAGAGATGATTTTCTTACTTAGATCATCTTCTTCTACAAATTTGTTACTGGTCAACATTTCATTATGTTTGTCTTGTAAAGAATGAGACAAATTTAATGCTACAGCATTTAAATCCTTTCCAGCTAAATTTAAATCAGATGGACTTGCCTTGTTCCCTGCTGTAAGACCTGTATTAATAGAGGCATTTGATGTTGACTTGATATTTTCACTTATATCATCATATGCAGGTTCTATATGAGCTAATGTTATGGCAGAACTTTCTGCTTTATCATTAGAGTTCATATTAGGTTTAGGTGTGAATAATGACAAAGATGTTAGAAAATTAGATAATGTCTGATGAAGCTGGCCCACAATGTATAGTGGATTCACTGAAATGTTTGTTTGGGATTCACCAGCACTGATTTCAGTGGTGGGTTTCAGCAGACTGGAGTTCACGGTTCTCTCATTACTAGCATCATCAGTCTGGTGTAGATGTTGTGATGGTACTGGGGAGCCACACTGACCAGCACCTGGGTTAGCATCAGATGGTTGATTGGATGGAGAAACAGACAATTGATTTCCTCTTCCAGTACAAGACTCTACATCTGTGTCCTTGTATCTGTATCTTGGTGAGTGCAAGCTTTCATGTGAAATGGAAGTGTTCGAATTGGGAAAATTATTCCTTAAATTGAAGTACTTGTTTGAATCAGTATCCTTTCTTTTACCATTTACCAAATATTGTTTCTTGTTAGAAGCTACATCATCATTTAAAGTATGTATGGATCTACTTTCATAACCTGATTGTGGCATACTCAAGTTGCTGTGTTTATTATTGATATTCAAATATTGATAATTTTCTTTCTTACTACATGTGCTGTGTCTGTCATTTAACCCAGGTATTTCTCTGGAACAATGGGATTCTTTTCTTTTGCCTGTGTTTTGAAAAGATGGTGCACTGGAGATTAAATGCTTTTTATAGCTCTCAAGATGTCTTAGACTGTCACTGGTGTTGTGGATGGGTCTGTCAAAGCCAAGAAAACTTTCATCATCTTCTGTCTTCTGTTCCATGAAATTCGGTAGACTTAAGTTAGGCTTTTTATAATAATGTTGATGCTGGTAGTCTTCTCTGCTGCTTGTAGCTTTAAAGTGATTTTGAGGCAAAGAAACTTCTGAATTAGAAGGTGAGAATTTGGAACCCAGTGCATGGGACTTATGATAAACTCTTTGTGCTTCACCACCAGTACTGTGTTTTGATGATGTGCTCTGATGTTTTAAAGCTCTGTCAGAGTTAAAGTCTTCCTGCCTGAATGGTTTCCCTGGGTAAAGCTTACTAACATCTCTATGATTTGTTGGTAGTCTATCCATGTTGGAATGCTCATCTGTTCTTTCACCCTGTCCCAGAAAGCTGAGAAGGTTGGTCAAGTTTCCCAGTGAGTCCAGTTGGTCTAGTAGTGCATTACATTTTTTGGTGGCTAGTGATGAAAGCTGATTGCTGTGGGTTATAAGGGGGAAAACGAAATATAAAACACAAGCTTGCTTAATGGATACTAAAAATAAATAAAAAATAAACCAAGAAGTAGATATAACTGATGTCTATAGCAACTGGTTAGGTATGGAAAGTGTTCCCAGTGCAATACTAAGCCACACTTACAAAAGATGTTCTCAGTTACGTACCAAGCTAAGCATCACAAATACAGATGGATATAAATATAAATACATATCATTTTTTTTCTGGAGCAAGACAATTAAAATCTAGGTCTGCCACTTAAATTTTAACCAGGCCTACCAACCTTGGTTCATTTGAGTTGTCATGTTTTGATTCCTGTCTTGATTCTAAACCTGGTTTTTCATAGTTTTTCTCATGAGAGGAATCTGAAATCAATTTCATTTTATCAGCTAATTTGTTACCTAGTGATAGATAAAATGTTCAATCTTTTACGTTATTCAACAGTTGTGAACAATCTTTAATAACTGCTTATTTTTATTTAACATTATTTACATAACTTTTTAAAGTTATAAAATGAACAATAATCTTGTAATGAATGTTTACACAAATCTATGGGCTTACTGTACCTGTTGTTTTGCTGATGGTTAGAATATACTTTATTGTTTTAAAGAGTTCTTCATCTTGGGTCTCAGTCAAAATGTTGACCAGCAAGCTGTAACCACGACCTTCACTGACAAGTGAACAAGACTCTTCTAATAAAAAAATAAAAAGATTTTATATTAGCAACTTTACAATATGACCCAGTGAAATTAGAAAAATTAGATTCTATAGCACATAATAGTTAATCAGTATCAAGCCATGTAGGATTTCTTTGGGTTCACTCGGCTCAAAAGTTATATGAACAAGTCTGGAAATTAAAAGGAGCAGCTAAACATAATACTAGCCAGATTAATAACAAACAGACAAGCAGATAAAATCTACATCCTCACATATAGCTTATTACCCTATGAAGAAAACTATGTCAACACACGAGCCACAAACAGAATATTCTCTCCCCTTACTTGTTGACTCCAAAATATGAGCTAATGTTAAGACAACAACTTGAGTATCATTTTGGTCCAAGTCTCTTTTATCAAGGACGTCAAGTATAACTGGGATGATTCCCAACTTCTCAGCCTGCTTGCAGGCTTTCTCTGAAAGTTAAAACAAAAAAACTTATACAAATTAGTCCACTTCTTCTTATATACATGTTTTACTATTGCAGTACATTTTTAAAAACATCACTGTTTACAAACTGTTTTCAATTAAGAATTAAATTTCAAGTAACCAAATGAGCCAAAGATGATTACCATTTTCAGCAAGACATGCATCAAGGGCAGCAACTCCAGAAGCCAAAAGCTTATGATCAGGGATGGCTAAGCTACTATACAGCTGCTTTTTTATGAAAGTTATTAGAATCTCAACACCACCACATTTCCTTATCCTTTCTTGGTTAGAAGCTTCAAAATAAAAAATGTATTATTATGTAAATGAAAGTTACATAAAATCTAAAAACTATTAAAATACTAATTCACAACAATGAACAAAAAGTAAAAGACAAAACTTTCTACCATTGTTGGCTACCACTAAGCCTAAAAGGAAAAGTATGTGGCGAACAGATTCATGTTCTGGATCATCACAAAGAAACTTAAGCACATGTGGCAACACACTGCAGCAAACTTGCTGATATTTGTCTGAAGAAAACCAGAAAAAAAATAGTTAAACAAAATTTGTATGCTAAATAATAGCTTTTAAATGTACGAGCCGGCCCGCGGCATAACATACGCCGCTATTTAGTTGTTTCTAATTTTCAATAATTCATAATTTGTGAATTCGACAGTACCAACGCTGACACTGAAAATATTTCTTTAAAACACTATAAGTAGCTCGTTAAGGACCATAACCCCCCCCCCCCTTCCTTCCCTCCCCCCCTCCTCCCCCCCCCCCCCCCCTACGTTTAAAATCGTTGGCTCTGCTTGTAAACACTTAGAGTGAACACAGCTCACTAAAACCATGTAGGGGTGGGGAGGTAGGGAGAGCGTTTGCAGCTTGTTTTCTAACGGCTCGAAGAAGAGAATTATATATATAGAAGATACTTCTTATACAGTACTAAAATTAAATTTTATTCAATCTTTAATAAATGTTCCATTAAAATAAGTATTTAATACTAGCTATATAAAATAAGCCTGCATAACAATACATGGATTAAAAATCTACCAATTAATCTGGGTGTGAAATATCATGTATATAACTTATATCGATGTGCATGCTAAAAAGTATGACTTAAAAAGAAAAATGAAAACACCAACCATTTTGGGGGTTGTTGACACACACACCAATAGCTTTTGTAAAAACTGACCACTTGTTGTCATCATTGCATCTCTCCTCAACACAGTTTCTAAGGTAAATTTTGTTATAAAAAAAAATAGTTCGTTGTGGGTAATGTTGCACAAATAGGCATTTAACTCTCAACAGATATTTTATTTTAAAGTTCAGTACACTGATACCTTAATAAATTTAGCAAGTCTTGCAGGCATTGGGTCTCATATGCTAAACTCTGACCTTTTCCTGTAAAATTTGAATAATTAATTTAAAAGTTTTCTTTGCTTTTTATATTATCTACTGCTGTGAATTTTAATACACTTATAATAATTTTTATTTATCCTATAAGATTTACAAGAAAAAAAGTGAGTTTAAAAGTTGGCATTTGAGTAGCAGCGAAAAAATCAACAATTTCCTCACCACTTCCACTAACTACACACGCCAATAAAAAAGAAGCTGACTGCAGGATTTTACTATCACTTTCACTCTCTGACAACAGGCAGTGTAGAACTTTAAGCACAGGATTACTCAAAAGAATGTTCTGTGAGGTCACTTCATGGAAGACAAAAACAAAAATGAATAAAATGTTTAATGCTTTAAAACTTTCTACAAATAAATTGTCTTCAGAATTTTTACTTTTATTTTTCACTTTAAATATACCCACCAAAATTATTTTATAGGAATCTTAACAAATGTTCTACCCATCACTGCAAGTAAGATAAATTATTGTTACATACCATTTTGTTTCACTGCACAAGCTAAGCAGTAGAGTACACCTGGAACAGCTATAAGTGGACAATGGCCTTGCACAAGCAAGTCGGTGAGTACATCTAAACCACCCACAAGACGGAAGTAATCCTGTGAATCAGCTAAAATATACAACTGTTAGTCATTTTGTGAATTTATTTAATTCGGAATCATAACTACAGCTTAATTAAAGAAAGTTTGTAACTGTTCATAATTCTTTATTTTGAATAGGCTGTTTTGATTATAAATGTTTTATTTTAACAAATGCAAATTTACTTGTTTATAAATGTATTTATTCATTAACTGTTACTAATTCATTACATTACACAATTGGCCTAGTTAAATTATTCTAATTTAGTATTTACACTTACTAATAGTGCAGAAAATTGTGGCAAGTGCATTTAATGCCTGATGAAGAATAGATGGATTACAACCTTGACATTTAACATTCTCAAGTAGAGTAAGTATATCAGTTTGTGTCTCTAAAAGAAAAACATTAGTATATTTTAATAGGCCCCGTAAATATATTTTCATTTATCATTAAATGTAGATCTAAATAGTTATTCTATAAATTAAACAATAAATTATAATTAAGAGGTAAAACCTGATGGAATATGCATGAATAAAGAAAATTAAAGGTGGGGTTCTCTAGGGAATATATGTGACTTTGGATTGTTCTTATAATCTTATAAATACTTAATATTTATAAGAAATTTCAAATAATTTTCAAATTCTAAATCAACTCTATCAAGAGTGTTTGCAGATCCTTGACTTGTAATCAAGACAAGAGCCTAGACTACATGATCTAGATCTAGATCTGGAATCTAAGTCTAGACCTAGACTAGCTATAATTAATAAATTATTATATAGGGCCTATATTACTAATTAGGTCTAATTATAAATTATACTAATTAATTTGTGAGACAAATAAAATAAATATTTAGAAATTGAAGAATAAATCTGATTAAATCTGAAATTCTAATAAATTAAAATTAGGCCTAATTTCAACTTGTCTATTTTAATCATTGATTACATTTTGATTTAGATCTATACTCTAGATCTAGAATCTATGTCTAGTACTAGAATCTAGTCTAGTCTAGATAAAGTAGAAATCTAATTTTAAAATTTACCAAATTCAAGTGTTTCACAAAATTGCGGGTCATCTTCCATGTCAACATCGGTGTTTACTTAGATCTATTACTTTTTTTTTAACTTGTAGTTTTAGAGCTAGATCTATATCTTACTAAGATCTAAATCAAGATCTATAAAGATTATATCAAATTTAATTATTCACAATTAACTTGTAGATAATAGATCAAACGAGAAAAATAAAATATTTAGATTAGATCTACATTGTAGATTTGTAAAGATTCGTCGACTGCTACTTTTGATAATACAAGGGAGGCTACCATCAAATTTGTAAAAAAAAAAAAAATCAAAATAGATCTAGAAATACACGGAACAAATATTAGCACTATTAAATTAGTGCTCAGTCAATGGCGGTGCTGAAGCGCGGGGCCCCTTCAAGCGCGGGCAGTGGCGTAGCCAGGATCGTCTCAAGGGGGGGGGTTCCAATTTTTACCCAGGGACAAACTTTCGATTTGCACCCCCCCTCAAACTTTCGATTTGCACCCCCCCTCAAACTTTCGATTTGCACCCACCCTCATACTTTTTATATATACCGAGAGGTCTATGGGGGGGGGGGGGGTTATGACCCCCCTAACCCCCCCTGCCTACGCCACTGAGCGCGGGGCCTTGTGGTACCGCCCCGATTGCCACCCCGTTAAGTACATAAGTACATCTGTACGTGTTGATCATCTTGACTCATACTAACGTTCTTGAAATTGTGTTTATTATCACTGTACATTTGTTTAGCTTCCTCTTACCCTCCTCCCCACCCCAAATATAGTTGCATAGAGTTTTCAACACAATCCATCTAAAGATATGTGCATCTACAAGATGCTTTAGGAAAATGTTCTAGATCTGCTGACAGGCAAGGGGGCTGCAGTTTCCCTTCCTGCTAGTATTTACATTTTGAAGATAATCTTAAAACCCAAAGTGAATAGGCCTCCGATATAAAAGAGGGGTGATTGAATTGAGCCTGACAACTCAAGCAAAGACTACACTCACTTATGAGCTAAGATCTGTAGGTGGTCGACGGTCTACATCCAACAGGAATAACACAAACGGGTAATGTACAGAGTTTCTTCCAGGCATCTCATCGGGGGGGGGGGCAGAGCCTCCCCGAAGAAAGTCTACCTTCCCCATCCCCCCCCCCCCCCGAAGGACATGGAATTTATTTATAAAACATACACTTTTACTAGTGTCACCTGACACTTTGCCCCCCGAAGAAAGTCTACCCCCCCCACCCACCCCCCCCCCCCCCCCCGAAAATTTCAAGTGCCTTCCCCCCCCCCCCCCCCTGGAAGAAACACTGCTTAAAATTCTTTGTTCAGTCAAGATATCCAGCTCGTGAGGTAGAAATTTGATTTTTAATGAGAAGGAACGGACACATATGAAAATAAATACTTGGAACAGTCTCTGCTTAAAAAAATGATAGCATGAAAGACTGTTGCTTGTGTCAGGACCTTTATTTAGTTTACCTTCAAATCATCTGTAACTATTTTAATTTTTTTCAGGGGTAGCAACAATGTAATCTCTTCGTTATAGAAAGTAATAAAGCGGTGGCCTCCCTTGACACGTGTTTTATTGACAGTTTTTCAAGAATTGGTCTGTAAAAACTATGATCAGGATTTGAAATATCTGAAAAAATAGTTCACAGAATGTGTGATTTTAAAACACTTGAGAAGCTGATTATATTTCTTTCCTTTTTTAACAAATGTGTGACAGGAATATTCCAAAAATTTATATTTATAAATTATAATATCACTCCATAATCATAGATGCTTGTTTTTACAATATTGACCAATCAGGGACGGAACTACAGTGCCGCCAGACCCCGCAATGCGGGGGGGTGGGGTGGGGGGGGGGGCGCACGCGTTCAGAGCGCCCACGGCAGACCATAATCAATGTTTTATAGTTCAATTTTTAAAAAATGTTCCTGCATTTTTTACTCGATGTTGTTTGTAAGAAGATTACTGTAGCTGCGGTTGGATTATCTTTATTCTATAGACAGTATCCCACGCTCTTGTATATTCTTTTCCCTTTGTTTTTATACGATTGTGAAAGCCGAGTCCTCTTTCTCCTACAATCAAACACACTGAGTTTTCGGCAAAATTCTTATGAAAAAAAATCCATTGCACGAGAGACCACTTCCATAACTTATTTCCCTTTTTTAGATTGTCAGATAGGGGTGCTCTTAAGTTCCTTTTAATAGATTTGTACTAAACAAATTAAAAAGCAATTACTTCTTTTAAATATTATTTTTTAAAAATATATACTAAAGAATGACATAGTACATAACGGGAAATGTATTTAAAATTAATAATATAAATACAATATATATATATATATATATATATATATATATATATATATATATATATATATATATATATATATATATATATATATATAAACATGACACGAGAAACCATTACACATACAGAGCTTTCACGTTTTATATTCTTTTGACCGACTCTATGATAGGAAATAATACAGCAGACATAAAATAAAAGAGTAATGTGTAAAACTATACCTTGAGCTGTCAACTCAACTCCCCACACCCATATCCCCCCCCCACCCCATCTCACCCAAAACGTATTATATATCCACCATGTTCTAGAGTTTATTTCTTATGTCACCCACATATATTTAAAAAATAGAATTTTTAATACGCTCGTGATGTTATAATTTTTAATATAATGTTCAGGAAATCTATAAACAAAATATGTTTTAAAAAAAAACCTGAACAAAGCTCACGAACACAAATCACCCACGCCACTTCAAGACCCCCCCCCCCCCCCCTCCCCCAATCCTTCTCACAATTTGTCGTTGTGTTACTTTGTTTTTAAATGTGTTTATTACTTATGCTTGGCTAGTTTGGCCATGCGACAGCCATTGTTGACGTCTGCGCCATATGGCCAAGTCCGACAACCGGCCCGTCACCTTCGACCCCTTCTGCGGGCAGTCGCCATAATTGGCGTTCTGCGCAATTGGCTCGCGCCTCACGCCGTCCTAATGGACCCAGTGCTGGATTTAGTTCACGGATTTCTAGTCCGGACTTGATCGCACCTTTCTGACTAACAAAATCGTCTATCATGGTTTGAAATAACTAAAGAAATGATAAAGTCAACTCGAGTCATTACAAACAGAGGAACACTGGCGCATTCATATATGGCTTTTGTACCTTATGCTAAGTTCTTAAAACGGATATGCAGTTTCTGGAGAACCTTGACCTTTCCTAAAAAGACCACAACGACCCATTAAAAAAAAGAATTAACATCTCTCCCGATTGTAATCGTGTTTTTTGTTTAATTCAACACACACACACACACACACATATATATATATATATATATATATATATATATATATATATATATATATATATATATATATATATATATATATATATATATATATAATCATATATTATTATATCTGTGGAGCTGCAACATATCGAAATTGTATCGAAAATTCGGGTAATTATTTGTCGATTAACTTTATCATAAATGTTAAAGATATTTTCATGGCTGTTCCGTGTGGGCATTGGTGGGCGGCTATTGTGACGGTGAGCCGTCATAGTGGGCCCCTATGGTGACAGTGGTGGGCCCCTATAGTAACGTGCATCACTAAAATTGCGATAAGTCCCCACAGTACTGTCGTCCTTACCTATAAAAAGCTGTCAGTTCTATATCTCGCTATTGTTATACCTTTAACATACCACCTTTATCTTTATGCATTTAAACACGTAACGTTTTAACTTCAATAAATGTCACAATTTAAATAAAAAATGCAAAGGAGATATAATTTTTTATTAAATTTATGACTGATATTCAAATTAATTTTTACGCATAAAAAAGCCTGACTATTTGTCAAGTTTAAGAAAGGCTTGGTCACATTAGCGAGCCAACGACCCGTTGAATGTGTGCTTGCTCGCGAGCCTTCCCATTCATCAACATTATCACCATACACACTTGAGCTAATCTCCGAATATTGCTCTTTTGATCTCCCGACTTACCGGCCCTGCAGCCTATACGACGATAAGGGCATATTCTACGGGCTACAAGGGGGAGCAATCGACAACAAAACACTTGATGTGATAGATATTTCAGTCGGGAATGACGGGCCCTGAATATGAGAAATGTAAATACCGAATTGGTTAGGACAACTCATGTTTTTCAAACTTGTAGAAGTGTATTCAGAAACCGATCCACGAGTCTTTAGTTATGGTCGTGTTTTAGAGGATACGGGTCTGAATCGATGACATATTGTATGTATTTTATTCCTCTAAGATACGGACCCGCTTAGGAAAATGTTCTTGTCTAAAATTAATGAGAGTTTGATAAGTCCGGATCAAAGAAAAGATCTGCATATATGATGAACACTATCTTTTTTTATGAAAAAAATTAAATTAAATTTTTAAAAATTCTTTGTGTTTCCGTTCATTCATAGAATAGGTTCATTATAATACGAAAAAGTTGCAAATTTTTCTGCCTTTAATATTGACGTAGTAAGCGGCAAAAAAAAAAAAAAAAATTACCAAAAAAAAAAACAAAAAAAAAAACAACTTACCACGCTACGAAATACTGATCGATTTGAAAAGTTTAAGCTGCTACTAATAGGGCTAATGTCTGTATACTTTCATTTCACTTCTAAGTAATACGCCTACTGCTAGTACTACTCTACATACTCTCATAGCATTCAGCTACTAATACCACTATACATAATTTCATTGTACGGCTGTTTCCCACTATTATACTACCATCAGTGGCGTCGCTATGTCGGGTGTCACCCGGTGCGGCAGTTCGTGGTGTCACCTCCCCCCCCCCCCAAGTAACAAAGTATATATATATATATATATATATATATATATATATATATATATATATATATATATATATATATATATATATATATATGCCTACATAGGCCTACAATGTAAATATATGCCATATATATATATATATATATATATATATATATATATATATATATATATATATATATACACCTACATGTTTGTGTAAAAGCTTTAATCACCGCAGACGTA